TGCTCTCTGACGCACGGGGTCCCTTGCTTACTCTCGGGTCGCTCCGGGCCTCGCATCTCGGGCTCGGGCTTTCCTTTACTTGGCTCCAAGCTCCCGCCCTGTTTCGTCTCGTCGCGTGCACGTACGTCTTCGAGGTTCGCTTTCAGCCCATATGACTGGCTGATCTCGACCAAGTCCTCCTGCGGTAGCCCCTCGCCATCGCTATCCTTCGCGCGCGCGCCCGCTTTCCTACACTCGGTACGTCCGTTCTTTCCTGCCGTGCGTATCGATGTCCTTACTTGAACCTGTTGTCTCGCCGTCTCCTGCATCTCGCTCGGTTCGGTGTCTTCACCCGCGGGCTCGGACTCCCCATTACTCAGCGGCAGGCTCACGTCCTGGTCCGTCTCGCAGTACGCCCGCGCGTGGCCATCCGCCCCCAGTGGTTCGTCAGTTCCAGCTTCTCCGGTCGGTCCGTCTTCGCCTCGCATTTGCAGCGAGATTCCCTTGCCTGTCGCTTCCATATCCCCGGTAACTCGGCCCCTGGCCGTACTCTCGCTCGGTGAATGCTGCTCGCCGCCATCGCATCGTCCAACTGAAGTGCTCGCCCTTCCCCGGCCCAGACTTGCTACTAGCTCCTCGTCCGTAGTACGTGGTCTTCCTGCTTCGATTGGCTGCTCCCCACTCGGCTCCAGACCTCGTGTCTCCTTGCATCCACCCTTTGCCTCAGGGCTCCTCATCTGATGCCTCTCGCGGACCGGGTTCGCTCAGTCCGCAACCGTCCACCTCCTCCGGCACCGTCAGTCCAGCCGCTTGTTGTCAGACTCACTGGACTCATTCGCTGGACTACCGTTTCTCGCCATCGCGTCCCCCTTTGGGCGCTCGTTCAGCTCGCTCTCGACGCACGCGTCCGTCATGATCTGAGACCTGCTCCTCCCCTTCTCGCTGGCTAGCGTTCGACTGGCTGTTCCCTCGCGGACCTCGCCTCATCGCTCGCAACGATGTTCGGGTTGGACTTGAGGTCCCATGGCGTGTGCCGCCGTGCTACACCCAGTGCGCTCGCTAGACGGCTCGGAGTCTCCTTGACTGTCTTGAAATGCCTGGCTCGCCAGGCCTGATACAAGGCGACTGAACACTTCCCTCCGCATCAACCCAGGCCCCGACTGCTGTACACGGCCGCGATCCCCTGCTTTGCTTGATCGATCGCCGCTCCATCGCGCCCGGGTTCGTGCAGCCTCCGTTCGCCTGTGCTCTAGTCTCGAGCCCTCGTTCCACTTGCTTCGCCACCGAGTTGTCCCCCTCCTCTCGTTGCCTCGCGACTGTACACGTCCCGTGTGCCTTCACATCCTCCGATCGTGGAATACCGCCCGTCGGTTCCGGCAGCGCGCCTCGCCAGATGTATCGCATGCGAATCGGCTCAATAGGTCGGGAGCCCCTTTTGACCTCAAGGACGACAGACGACGCACACCCACTCTGCGATCGGAGACTAGTGGTCCTGTACTAGTGAACTGCGCAGGCCCTGTTCCATACACTTGAGTGCTCGTCACCTTGGATCCTCTCTCCCCTAGCTCCGCCCCTTCAGACAGACCTTCGTCGACGTCACGGACCTCGACATGCTTGCTATCGCAGTCTTACACCTCAGGTACTGTAGCCCGTGGTCGCGCATCGAACCGTTCGCTCTACGGTGCTTACTGGTGCATCCGTTCTCGCCCCTGTTTCGCGCTGACCATCTGTGTGCGTACGTCTGGTCCGCGTCCTGTTGCTGAACATCCTGGCAGTCGGCTTTCCCAGCCTCTCGTCTTGTGGGCTGCGCGCACCCTTCGCTCTCCCCTCGTTCCCTCCGGCACGCGTAATCCTCGTCCGTCGCTATCGTTCTCCCGTGCCTGCCAGCGAACGACTTGCTGTCCCCGTTCGGCATGCCCGTCGGCCTCTCTGTCGCTCTCGCCGAGGTCTCCTCCGCTGTCTGTCGACCGTGCTTGCTAATACCCCACTCTTCGCTCCCTCCGCAGTCAGCGAGTTCCTCCTCCGTCGAGGTCCTCACGCACGCTCCCGTTCCCTCCGCCTCTTGCTCCCGTGGCTCCAAGTCGCCGCTTCGGCCTATGATCCTTTGTTCTACAGCCTCCAGAGGCTCCTCGAACTCGCCTCGTTCCTTCCGGCAGGGCTCAGCCTCGAAGCTCGCGCTCGGCACCGTTCGACCATCCGTCTTCTCGCTCCCGTCCTCCGTCCTCTGATCTCCTCGGTTCCCTCTGTGCTGGGTACCTCGTTCTTCTAGCCCCGCATCCACCCAATCCGACTCCGCACGCTCTTGACCTTGAGGTTCGCCTACTGTTCCCTCCGCGACGTAGTCACTCCCGGTCACTGCGACTCTCGTGCATTTTCCGGCGATCTCAGTCGTCGACGTGCATACCCACGTCCGCGCTGCTTCCTCGCGTTCCTCGCGTAACTCCCGCTCGCCGTCTTCACCTGTTCGTCCCGACGCGTCTCGGTATCCTGTTTGCTCTCTTCGTTCCCTCCGGCGCGCGGCTTCCTGGACGCTCGTTCTCACCTCGCCCGTGACTACTCGACTCCGAGCGATTTCCGTCCCGTCCTCCCGACCTGTTCGACCGGACACAGTGTGCTGGTTCCTTATGACTTGGGTGGGGGCGTGCCGTGACTCTCGCGCGACCGTGCCAGTTCGAATCGCTCCGCTGTCGTAGGTAGTCTCGCAATAGATGCTCTTCGCCTCGGCCCACCGCACGACCCGAGCTTGAGTTCCTGTACGCTCATCCTCGTTGCTTCCTCTCTTGTCCGCCCGTATCTCTGAGTCCCCGTCACCCTCACTCCTGCACTGGCCGTAGTCGCCCGCAGCGGGCCCAGACTCCTCTCCAGGTCGACACTCCCCCACTTCGGCTCCCGGTGAACGACAGCCGTTCTCATCACCGCCATCCAGTTCCTTCCGAGGAGACACTCCGCCCATCGAGGGCTCGTGTACGTGTATCATCTCCTTCCGCGCGAGTGCGACTGACCATGTCGAAGAGAACGACGGTCCCGCAAGAGCCCGAGTTCCATCCGCGTCCTGCTCCCGTACCTGCCAGGTATCGACTCGACCGGCGATGCTTGGTCTTGCTACCTCCTCAAGCTTCCCCCGCTCCCTCCGAACTCGGTACGCATCACGCTCGAGGTTCACCCATTCCGTATCCACTGCTAGGCTCTCGTTGCTTTCTTTCCTGTCCCCGCATCCCGTTCCTTCCGACGCAATGTGCTCGCCCGCCATGGCTTGAAAGCGGGATGAGTTCGGGTCCGTGTATTCCTCTAGCTGTGACTCCCGATTCATGCTTGTCTGTCTCGCCGGTTCTTGCGTTGCAACAGCCCCGACGTGAGCGGGCGTCCCTTCCGATGACGAGTTTGCGGTTTCCGAGTCCGCCGGCTGGCCCCTTCGTGCGTGCCTATCGAGGCCCAGACCTGCTCCGTCGCATTCGTTCAGTCGTGACTGTTCCGGCGACTCACTTGCACATAGAACTGTCCGTCTCGTCCCCTTTTCACGCCCGAACCGTTCCCACTCGTTCGCACCTTCCGGCACCGAGACCCTGACGTCCTCTGCACCGCTGGATCGCTCGCCTCGAGTGTCTGCTTCACCTAAGGTGTGGACCCTCTGGTCGTGGCGCCCCCACCTGTACGCCTCGTACGCTGTTCCTTCCGATCTTACGGTCTCGCAGCCATGGACCGCCTCAGGGCCTCTCGCGCTTCGCCAGATCGAGTCGTGTGCAACCAAGCTACTAGTATTGAGGAGACGTGCAAGCCGTGAGAATGCGCGCCCCGTATCTTCGACCTGAGCGACTAGCGAGACGCCAGTAGGCTGTGCAGACCACGGTTCGGGCGCTCGAGCGATCTTCTCTGGCTGGAATGCTCTCTCCGCCCACTCTGCCTGCGACTGCTGGTGGTCCATGTCCCGGCTCTCGTCGTACTCTCTCTCGTCCCCGGCGACCATGCTCTCTTGTTGAACTCTCGCCACGTCAGCACGCTCCCGGCCGCAGTCGCATCCATCGCCGCTCTGCTGCATGCCCGAAAGCCGCGCGTCATTAACTCCAAGCCCGAACGCGCACGTCCCGTGCTCCTGCACACGCAAGAAAGTTCTCGCGGAGGGAGATGCATGTCCGAGGTACGCATGATCGGTGGAGGAAATCCCCTTGGTGAGCGTAATTTCTGTCGCTCGAATCACGACCCGTCTGAACGCCTGCGCTTGTCGCTCCTGCTGCTTGCGCGTATCTAGCTCTGCTGCCGTCGCACTATCCCGCCCTACGGTATCTTGCCAGATGCCTGACGCGTGCGTCGCCTCCGTATGCGTGCATGGTGCGCCTCGTGGAGCTGGTATGAGGCCTTCGACTCGCGAAAAGGGTGGGCAGCTTGTCACTGGACTTCTCCCGGTACGCCTGTCCTTCGACACTGTTGTCGCGACCCGCCTAGTTGCCCGTGACACCTGTGCAGCTTGCTGGTACAGCCGAAGCCAGCCGTTTCCGGTTTTGAAGACTCGTCTTGCCGCCAAGAACTCTCCGACCTCCTTCTGTTCCTTGCTACACGCGCTAATGGCCCGCTTGAAGCCTCACCACCCGCCACCCTCTTCTCGTCACGGCCTAGCTCGCCATCGAAATCCTGCCCGTGCGCAATACCCGTCGCCGCTAGGTTCTCGCATGCAACCCTCGCCCGCCGTGAGTCCCTCGCTCGTCGTCCTAGCTCGTCTTGCTCGCTCGACGCCCCGCCTGTGCCGCATCCAGGAATCCCTATACTCCCGTCAGTTTCTTGTTCGAGATCGCTTACACTCGAATCCTCGTAGGTCCGCACTTGGTTGACTAAGTACGCCGCATCCGTTCCTTCTCGATCTCCTCGTATCAACGCCAGTATCTCCCCGCACGGTGCCCTGTGTCGGTGATCGACCTCTGCAAGACATGTGTCTCTCCTCGTAGTGATTCCGCCGGTGAGTCTAACCTCCGTAGTCACATCGCGTGCCTGTCCTGATGCTCGTGTTTCCGTTCCAGTTCGCTCCCTGAGCCGCGGGTGATCGTCCTCGACCGTGAAGACTCGTCTCGGCACCGCCAGCAGATTCCCGACCTCTTCCTCTATCTCCGCGCCGTGGTGGTGCGCCTTGTACTCACGGTGGTCGATCGTGTACGTCTCAGTCGCGGCCTGCACCTTGGCCAATGGCGTCTGCTCGCTCGTCTCCCGTGCGTGCCCCTCTTGCTTGCGCATATCCTCGCCTCCGATGCTGGTGTCACTCGTTGGCCCTGACCCCTGAATCCTCTGCTCGCGTGCTCGGTTACTCGCTGGACTCCAGGACCTGCAGGTTGAGCGCTCGCTCCGGCTTTTGTGGCTCGCAGTTTTCAGCATTCCGAGGCTGATCGACGCTCGACAGGCTCCGCCCTCCGAAGTCGCCCGCTCATCTCTCGTCGTGACGCGCTCGTACAAGCCCAACAAGCTTGACAGATATACTGATTCTAGCGGAGCACCTTGCTCGTCCCGCCATCCACTCGTCGCTATGGGGCCCTGACTTCGTTCGGATGCGCCCGCCGGGTGCGTCTTCTCTTGTGCCTGGCTCGTGGTACTGATGCCTGGTTCCGAAGGTGCTGATTCGCTTAACCACTTCTGCATGCTGGCGGGTCCCCTTCCAATGCGCATGTCGACTCCGGGCTCGGACATCGTTGCCGATATACGTGACGTGTTGCGGAAGGATTCGTCAAGTAGGGGCAAACCACTGCTTGTCGTAGCCATAGGCATCTGTGTCATAGAGCTCACATTACCCACATACACTTCCCAGCTACTTCGTCTATCCATCGCGTGTCGCCCCCGCGAACCGGTAGTCTCTCCTCTGCGCGGGCCTTCAAACCCAAGTGCTTGCTCGTGAGTGCTTAAACTGTCGCTGCTCGTGTTCGTCCCGGGTCTCGTCGTCATGGTCAGGCCCTCATACTGGGTAGCTCCGTCGTGTTTCCTCCCCGCAAGACCTGCTACTCCACTCCAGAAGTCGCGAAGTGCGAGTGAGCTGCCTCGGTGAACATGCGAGCGTACGGTGATGTGAGTGTCCGGGTCGACTGTCCTGCCAGTACCGCGAGAAGTGTCCTCGGCTACTACTAGGTCGCTGCCCGTACGCACAAGAACTCGCTCCTGTATGCGTGTCGTCGTCTCCCGTCTCTGTCCGTCCGCGGCAATGCTCGTGCGTGTGGCTGGTCGAGTCTCGTGAACGCCGTGGTTCCGTATCTCCGTGGATTGGGCGATAGTGCCGCTTGCGACGAATGTGTGCATCGCGAGATGGTCGTCGCCAGCATGTGCCGTAACTGGCTCGGAGTTCACGGTCGCGCGTCCCGTAGCTTGCTCGTAGGTCTGGGTTGTAGATGCTGAGGCCGTGAAGAGGCGGTCGAGTGCGTACGTGCCGTCGTCTCCGAGACAGCCAGTCGCCGACTCCGTGATAGACCTGAACCGTTCCGTTGTGCCGGTCGATTTCGCGACTACGTCCGCTTTGCGCGTTGGCGTCGATTCCGCAAGCACCGTAATGGTGGACTGATGATGGAGGGTATAGTAGATGTTGACTCGCCTGTACACAGTCGCAGTAGTGACTCTAGCCATGTCTTGATTGCACGCCAGCCCTCGTTCCATATGTGACGTACTCGTAGTGGATGGGAAGTGAATGGAATGGATTGTGTGTGCTTGCCTGTGCTGTGAATGCGATGACGCGAAGCTGTAGGCGGAGCGGAAGAAGCACGAATAGGATACCACCCCTCGCGGTGGGCTCCAGTTGTGTGGCTCGGGAGTGTAGTACCCCCGGGCGCGATGTTCGAGGGGCGGGCCAATCCATGGCTTCCAGGATGAAGGGAGGGTGTGTCGAAACGGGGGAATATGCATCTCGGAGGGGAGTAGTGCCAAAGACGGACCTCGTTGCCAAACCTCTGGCTCGCTGTCCCTATCCTCGGTCCTCCAGGCCTCGTCTACAGCTGTCATCCTGAGTCCTGACTCGTTCCGCTGCTCCCTCGCCTCTTCCGTGCTTCGTATCCTCAACCTCGCTTCCAGTCAACGGCTCCGAGTCGTACCGCGTTCAATCTCGTGCTCGTTCCGTGTTCTCGTTCTCGTTCTATCTCCTTGTACCCGTTCCGACGTCCTATTCTGAACTCTCGTAGTCGCTCGGCTCGTTGCGGAGTAGGCCAGCTCTGTTCCTTAGTCGCTAAGCTCGTTCCGCAGGTCGCTGTCCTCGTTTTGCTGGATCCTGTCTTCCTTCCGCTGGTTCGTATTCTTCTTCCGCTGGTTCCTAAGCTCGTTCCGCGAGTCCTTGGCCTAACCTGTACTCCCTCCGACTTGCCCTGATCTCGTAGTACTGGTGTTGCCCCAACTACGTGGCACTGCTTCCGTCCGAATGATTCTCGATGGCCCGACTAGGTCGCTAATGACCAACTCGGGGAGATGCCCCCCAACTCCAGAAAATGTGATAGCAGTGAGACGAGCTGTGCTCGTAGTTGCCTAGATTCGGAGGGGGGAGAACTAAGGAATGTACATGTCTTCGTCGCACTGTATGCCACGAAAGCTGACTAAGAGTAGCTACTTGCTATATATGGTAAGTAATGCAAAATCGCACGAAGTCCATCAAGTACAGTAAGTTATAAAGTATCGGAGGGAACAATGAGAGCTCCCTGAGTGCTCGGAGGGAACAATGGTAGTGTAAGAGCTCAGAATGAGGAATACACGTACTGTCCGGGCCTATGTGGGGGGCACTCCCCACAGCGGCGAGGAGGCGCGGGGCGTCTGCTCACCGGCGCTGTGCGGCGCGTCGACGTCCGTTGCTTGCGTCGCGTGCGGGGTGGCCGGCCTCGCGGCAACCTCAGCATAGGCTAGGTCTCGTTAGATGGAGAAAGTTCTGTATGTGCTGGGCACGTACAAGGTCTATCCGGCGAGGTCACGCTCGGCGTTCCCCACGGGTTCTGGACGACCGACTGGCGGTCGTCGATTTCAGGGCGAAGAGGAGGGAAGTCCTGCTGCTGCAGAACATCCTGGCTGGCGGTTGGCGCGGGCGAGGCCGGGCGCGAGTTTGACACCGTCAGGATCTCGTCGTTGGTAGGGGTCGAGTTGGAGTGCATTTTGAGTCTAAGAAGCTAGTTTTTCGGGTAGAGCAGAAAGTTCGAGAGTGTGTTGTCCTTGGGATTTTTCCTTCTTGCTTTTTAAACTCGGCGGTTGGTTCGCGTCCGCGTCCGCAGTCGGGCGACGCGCGTCGCGGTGAAGGCGGCGTTTTACCATTTGGGCAGATAATATCCTCGAGCGGGTCTGCGTTGACAGGGTTCCACAGGCGTCGAGATTTGATCCCTCCTCAGGAGGAGGGGCCTGTTTCGTTACGTTGTGCGCGCTTGGAGGGTGGAAGTTGTGTATTTGCCCCTTTTTCTTGTGTTGCGCGGGGAGAGGAGGCGGGGTGCGGCCTCGCTGTTGTCGTTCTTCGTCGGCGTTGTGTTATGGGTACGGTTTGCCGTCTACTCTAGAGGATATCGTGTTTGTTTGGGACGGGTGCTTCGCTGGCGCTGGCCTACAGTTGATCGCACGTGATCTATTGGTGCCGTCTGGTGCCGCTTTCCGGGCGCCTCAGCGCGCTTCTACGGCGCTTGCCATATGGTCGCCGTTGATGGCCGCTTCCTGGGGTGGCCCGATCGTTCTTTGGTGGGGTTGTTGCGGTGATTGGGCTGCTCAGCGTGTCATCGCATTCTCGGATGTAGTACATGTATGGATGTCATTCCCACGTTTCGTCGCGTAGCGATCTCCACTGCTTATCCGTAGATCCTCCGTGTCCACCTCCTCCGGTTTTGGTTGGTGATTATCCCTAGACGTTTGTCTGCGGATGCGTCATCCTCACCCTCGGAGTCAAACTCGTATGGGCTTTCATCATTGTCCATTGCGATGCTCGGGTTGGAGGCGAACACGGGGTGGGGGCGGGCGTTTTCGGTAGGGAGCGGTAGCTTCTGGAATGGGCTAGACTTTCTAGGTTGCCTAGATCTGCCCATGGTATTGGCACGTGTAAACGGTACGGCTTGTCTCCTCCGGTGATCGCGAAGGCGATCCAGTGCCGAAACAAGCCGACTGTGGCTGACAGCCGGCCGATGCCGCTCGTTCTATTGCTGGCTCTGAGGATGATGTGTTGGCCTCGAGCAAGGCGATTAGCTGGCCTGCTCGCTACCTCCCACGTCGTGCCTCCCTTCGCAGTTTGCGTTGGGCGGTCTTCGACGTCGACTACTGTGATGGCTGGACCTCCCACTGGCAACGATAGGTGCGGTAGGGGAAAGGGAAAGGTAGGGGTTTGTGCGTCGTTATCGGGGTGTTCCTTATTTAGGTTTTGTTGTCGTGTAGGCGTCGTTGTCGTGTGGGTTCTGTCCAGGGGGGATGGGCGGGAACTCAGTGTTCGTGGACGTGGTGCGGCAGGCATTTCTTGGGGGATTTCTGGAGTGTGTAGGCTCACTTTTATCGTTTAGTGAACGGGCGGTTATCTGTCATTCTCTTTTGCTTTTACGTTATGCCTTCAAGCGCGCCACGGAGCGCTCAGAGAGAGTACCATTCAACCTGGGAGTTCGTGGCAGTAGGAGGGCTTTACATGTATGGTGTTTCGTGTTAGGTGGATGTCATGCACTCGTTTGTTGGTATCATTTGCGTATGTTCTCGATGGGATCCTCGGCATGTTCCGGCGGCGTGGGGTCTCGTGTGTGGTCACGTGCTTGTGAGATACGCTGCCCAGTTTATGTCGGTGGCTGAGACTCAGTTTTTTTTTTTTTTTTTTTTATCCACGGGAGTTAGCCGCCCGGTGTTTAGACGCCGGTTGCTCGCCGGCGTGCGTGGGTTCGTCTTTTTCGAGGGCGGGTGTCGCGTCCACGACGGCTAGGCGTGCGTTTTGTCGCAAGTGTAGTACTTTAATCAGTCGTGAGGGGTTTCTCGCTGCTGGTCACTATATAGTTCGTTGTTTCGTAGGTGTTCAGGGATGGATGCAGTTGCTCCGTTTGGGATGATGTAGTCCCTGCTAGGTTCCAGCCTTCTGCTGCAGTCTAGCGTTGTAGCGCATGTTTGTTTCGTCTTTTGACTACTTATCCCCCGGGACCACGGAAAGGTCTGCGCAGGACTCGTCGGCGACGGAGCCCTCCCGGGGGCTTTGGCCTGTTCCGCCACCACCGACCGGCCTTCATGCGGCACGGAAAGCACAGAAGAGTCGATGTTGGCTAAGTACATGGCGTACGAGAACTCGGTATACGACACAAGCAGTGAGTACAGTAAAGCAATGTTGCAGTGATTGGTTTTCTTCGGCTGATCTACAGTCTCTCAACTCCTTTAGTGCTTCCGCCGAATACGACGAACAGAATCACAGGCATACTCATCATGCATTGTCGCCGAGCCATACAGGTACCCGATAACATCCACTGCAATATCGCACCAACAGCACACGAACGTATAGTTCGACCACCAAATCATTAGTCATTGGCCTACTCCGAATATCCAAGACATGTACAATTGCAAACAGTAAGGTAAATATCTCCGACGAACTGCGTTCGCTCAGCTGCATGGCTAACCAAGTAGACAGCGTCTTTATGCTCTTAGACGTTCGTGTCGCTCCTCTGGCCGTACGAGTTCTCGGGTTGGGCGAAGGGATACGGGGGCTTCGACGCATCCTGGCTCCAAGAGCCCTGGTCATAGGCGCTCTTCATGATCGGCGTGGCTTGCGCCTCGTACGTAGTGCGCATGTTCGCGGTCGGGGGCGGGTAGGGGTTGATGCCCGGCACGTCCTTGCTGCCATAGTCGTTGGCAGCAGCCTCGGCCTCGTCGCTGAGCTGACCGCAGTAGTCAAACACGATGGCGCATCCGGCTGTGGGCGGTGACATCAGCTACACAGCATACTTATTGATGATTGGGTCACTAACCAATCTGGAACAGCCAGACGAGCACCATAATGATGACGATGATGATGCGGACAGCGTCGGAACCCTTTTCGCAGACCCAGTGCGCAACTTGCTGCTCATCAGGTGTCTTGGCCTGGCTTTCGCACTGGCTCTGGTTGACGTGGAACAACCTGTAGCACCACCAGATGCCGATAGCGATGGTAATGACGGTGTTGGTCGTCAGAGAAATGCCGTAGCCCTTCACGAAGGGCCGGACCGCTCCGATAGCGCCAATCAAACTGAACAAGCATGGTGAGTCGGCGCGTTGCTTACTTGAATATGTTCACTTACCCCATGACCGAGAACAGGAGCATAAATGTGTACGCGAGGGCGAACAGTACAAGCCCAGCGAGCTCGTCCTTGGAGATGACGAGTTGCTTGATCGCTGTAGCGCTCACATCAGCAAGGCGCCCACTACCCGCTCAACGCCGGACACTCACCATACTTGTGGACCTCAAGCCATCCAAGTACACAGAAAGCGGTACTGTACGCGATACCCAAGAGCGCGGAACAGAAGACGCCGAATCTGACCGGCAGACAGCAGCAGAACTTGCGGGAGCGAACGGTGAGGCTCATCGTGAGTTGTGTCGTGTGCGTGTGCGTGAGATAAAACGAGGTTTTCGTCAGCGGAAACACGCAAGGTGGGGTCGTCACAAAAGCAAAGGGGAAAAAGAATAAAAGGCGAAGGCCAAAGAAAGCGGGGACGAAGAAGTGATGGTCGAAAGGGAGGCGCAGCCTAGGGTACCATCTCACCGGGGAGATGTTATATAGGTCGGCGCCTATCCCTCGTAGCGCGTTTCATGTGCCGTATTGATCTTGATGCTGTTCGCGGAGCAGATGCTGTGCGTCGGCAAACCGTTTTCTCCTCTGCTCATCATGTCTTTTCTATGTGCGAGCGGTCCGTTTGACATCGAGGGTACCGAGCAGACACCACAGTACCCTCATGCGAATTCTACATATGTATTACAGCCATAGAGAAGACGGCGCGCTCTCAGAGTGCTACTTCGAGGCGGCGGTATTTATCAACCATCATTCAGCGATAACTGCGGGATGTCAGGCACGGCACGCGGGCGCTCTTACGCAAGGCGATGTTCGAATCAATGCGCGTTTGACGCAAACCGGTGAGTACGACACATCTTACCGCTTTTTTGACGTCTGCCTCTTGGAAACCGTCCGGCCACGCAGGGAAAGGTAGAATCAAAGTAATTGTGCCAACGCTGAAGGCACCGAGAGGTCTGCAGCGCCCAGCCATCTCCGCTTTATATACGTGGGCCTTCGGCGATCGATGGAGGCCTGTGTGCAGACCTCGACTGCGACGGGAGCTGTCCACGCCGATCTATCAACTTGGCCACTGGAATCAATGTCGACTGGAACCCAAGGCCTCCTCCTGACAGACACTCGCTATTCCCGTGACTACTGCTCGTACGGTCTCACGACGTTCTGTCTGACACTCGACCTTGGGCTGTTCGTTTCGTAGTCGATTGCATCTATGGGGATGCCTATATGGTGACTGCAAACATGCGACGGGGGCGATGAGGTGGTGTGGGCAGTGAATACGCCATGACGCCGACGTCTTACTAGTAAGTCTGCTTCCAAATGTCTGTTCCCGAGGGAGCCTACTGAAGGTTTACATGAAGTTCATTCTTGCTGCGTGCTGATCTGCTAGGAGACCCTGCGCTTGTGTATGCATTTTTTTTACCACTGTCTGGCAGGGAATAGTATATGGCTTCCAGTGCGTACTTGATGTATCGCGGGCCAAGCCCTCAGATGATCGTTCCTCGCTGTCCGGTATAAATTCGCGTGTCAATTCAACTTATTCAAGACTTTCTGCAACGCTTTCGGCATGCATGCAACTGGCACCCGCCCTCGAAATGGAATATTGAGCTCCCTCCTCCCCCTCCTCAGTCCGTTTTGTCCGGGAATGGAATCACGTGATGATGTAGTTGAACAGATCCTGAAGTGTGCTGGCGCTTAACCTCATCCTCCTCATCCCCCTCCTCCTCCTGTTACCTTCGTCAGACCTGGTCTCCAGAGCAGGTTGCCTCAGACAAAGTGCCATCGCAGCGCTGGTGCGGACGGTGTCACTCACAGCCTCGTCGCTGCTGACTGAGAGGCGCTTGATACAGCCTGAACACCCGACCCGACCGATACGTTCCTGGCGGTTGCCGTGACGTACTTTCAGCCCTCCTACCGAGCCACCTTGTCTTTGACCACCATCCAGCTTGCGTTCGATCCTGTGTGAATCGCTATGAACTTCTTCAAGTCGAAGCCGCGCACACCGCCAGACCTCGTTCGTGGGCTTCGGGACGCGCTGCCGAAGTTGGAGGCTGGGCAGCCAGGGTCGGAGGTGAGACGGAAGGTGCGTGTCAATACCCCGTCAACTCCATGCACCGTCTGATCTCTACTCGTCTGTCAGGCTGCTGAGGAGGTCGCGAAGAACCTCCAGCAGATCAAGGCGATCTTGTACGGCGATGGCGGTCAGTGTGGCGTGGACTCGGCTGCGTAGTGTCGCTCACTTCGGAACAGACCCACTCCCTGAGCTTGTGGCGCAACTGGCAACAGAAACGTACTCAACAGACCTACTCCTCCACCTCCTCGTAAATATCCACAAGCTCGAATTTGAGGCACGGAAGGACGTCGTGCAGATATTCAACAATCTTCTCCGGCGGCAAATCGGCGCGCGATTCCCGACAGTCGAATACCTGGGTACTAAGAAGGAAGTGCTCTTTGCCGCGTTTGACGGGTACAAGAACGAGGACGTCGCGCTCAACACTGGTATGATCCTCCGTGAGATGCTCCGACACGAGCCATTAGCGAAGATCTTGCTCCAATCTGAGCAGTGAGTATATTATGGGAAGCTTCTAGTTATGCAGGTATTTAACGAAGGGCAGATTCTACACGTTCCCGCATTACATTGAGACCACGACCTTCGGTGTCTCCTGCGATGCATTCGCGAACCTGAAGGAGACGTTAACGCGCCACAAGGCCATGGTGGCCGAGTACCTAGACAAGAACTACGACCGTGTAAGCCTTCGTCTCACTCACCCACTGCCCGAGTACTGACAGACGTGTCAGTTCTTCAATACCTACACCACTCTCATCAGATCAGAGAATTACGTGACGAAGCGGCAGTCACTGAAGCTTCTAGGAGAGATTCTGTTGGATAGGGCGAATTTCAGCGTCATGACGCGGTACATCGCGGACGAGACAAATTTGAAGATGATGATGAACCTGCTCCGAGATAAGAGCAAGAACATCCAATTTGAGGCGTTCCATGTCTTCAAGGTCGGGATACCCCTTCATGACTGGCTAACGCTTTCAGTACTGATCACTGCTTGGTAGGTATTCGTTGCAAACCCGAAGAAGCCAGCAGAAATCGAGAATATTCTCCGGAGAAACAAGGATAAGCTGCTGAAATTTCTCAAGGATTTCCACAACGACAAGGAAGGTACGTTACACTGTGCAGTTTACCGCGCTCTTACGCAGCAGGCTGATCGTGTCTCCTACAGACGAGCAGTTCTCCGATGAGAAGCAGTTCCTTATCGGGCAAATACAGAATCTATGAAGATACCCTTCTGCATCGTCGCCCCTTTCCCTCGTCGGTTCCTCGCGTTTTCTCCATCCTCCGGACTTTCTTGCTCATCTCGCTCGTCTGTCTCGCATCCCTGGACTCCATCCTCTGCTGATTTGCACCACTCTGACATAATCCGGCGTCGTCGCCCGCCGACCCACTTCCTTCCGTGTTGGCACCTATGTAATCGTTTGCCTCGCCCTGGGCCGCGGTCCTTAGCTCTAGCAGCCGCTCGCCCACCTATCCACTCTGCATCCCCACACCACACGCTCTGTGTAGCCCGCATCTCGTGTCTCGTGTTCTCCTGGAATCACCCTTGATTGATCCTGTCCCGAGCCTCCTGTATTACCACCGTCTTAGTTCTATCGCACGCCTATCGTGGTCAATGGTACGCATCGTCTCTAGAACATTCGCATTTTCGTCGGCTGCTCCATGGGCATGGGAGTCGCCGTGTATTTGTACCTCAGGAGATGTCCGTGATAGAAACCGTTTGGGACGATCAGATGGGTGTGTACTGTGCTGTACTATGCATGGCAGTGACGGCATTCTGTGATAACGTACGTTACAGTTCGAAGTTGGTCCTTGCGGGTGGGCTTCTACTCGAGAAAGCCCATTGCTTCGGAATTCCGTTACTTATGTCATGGAACTTGCCTTTTCTCCTAACAGTTTCCGGAAGGCAACAGCAGGGGCCGTTCTCGCCATGACTGCTGTGATTCAAATAGCCTTCCGGTTGGTCTGCTCTGCCATGCATGCACAGTCATCGGTCATAGGGTCCTGATACTGTGCTGTCTCATAGAAAGTGCATTGTTGCTATGGTACAAGACCATCAGTATCATGGTTCGCAGAGTGAACGGCACGTCAATATTGCTTTTTCTCAGTACTTTCCGGAGAGCTTCCCCCACCCCGCGACGCGGTCTGCGCGTCACATCCGGACGACTACTTACAGACGTTCACAAGGAGCAGGATGAGTTGTAGCCTCCGTTGAACGAATTGCACTGCAATGAACAGGTGTGCCACATGATTTCCAGGATAATGAGCCGCATCTCAATCAAGAGATGCGTAACTAACAACCACATAAGCGAGTATGTATCCATGATGACGATAAGGAGCGGTATTGGTATCCACGAAGAACGAACCAGTGTATAGGCTGCAACGGCATGTCGGAGAATTAGGCAGAAATAAGTTAGGTCGGTGAGCCGAAAAGCGTAGGCTTCAAAATTCGAAGCAAAGATGTTCAAAGCGAGTTTGCGACAAAGCGATACAACTGCAGTTCAAAGCAGTGTCAGAAAGACAGAGTGGAGCAGAGGATGGTGAGAGTCGCACTCAGAGTAGGAATAGACACGCCGGATCAGTACTCCTGTGGCGAGCCCTCCGAGCTCTCCGTCCCAGTCTCCTCCGCGTCATCTTCTACGCGTCTCTCCTTCTCCTTGCGATACTCATACCCAACAAAGTTCATGACACTACAATACACCCCATTAGCATCGACTAACGACCGACAGCAGCCATGAACACTCACTAGATTGTTCCATCCGCACATCCAACGACAACCTCCTCGTGGCTCAGTTGCATGCTCATCGGGTTCTTCTCTGGGGTCGCTAGGCCCTGGAACTTGGCAGGCAGCTGGCCGAACAGGCCTTTTACACCCGCGGCGTGAAGGCTGTCGCTCTCTGCGAGCGCCGCCCAGGCACCCGTCAGCGGGTGGAGGTCCTTGTCGAAGTCCACGCCGGACGACGGCGATGGTGTGCGCTCCTGCTGAGGCTCGTCGTCGTCTTCCTCCGCCGTCTTCGCTGCTTGCGTTTTGTCACGGTGCGTCGACATGTAGATCTATGTACTCATTCAGTATGCTGAGACTCTCGTGTTGTGCAAAGCTCTATGACAACGCACTGTCTTGTTTGCCCCTGCGCGCGTGCTGAAGCGCGTCGCCGTCACAACGCGCCTTTTCCTCGGGTCCACCGCACCCACTGCGATATCCGGAGTCTCCACGACCGCCACAAGCTTCGGTGGCGCAGTCAAAACCGCTGCACGTCCGAATCGCACCGCAAAACCCGGGCCCGGAGCCGCCGAGATGGGCGTACCTGTCCTCGGCGACGGACTGACCGGTGTCATGGGCGTCTGCGGCGAGCCAGGCGCCACGTTGAGCGAAAGTCGGCCCTTGAGGCTGAGTGCTCCGGTCGTAGAGCTAGCGAGCGGCGACCTCACTCCACCCTGAATGGAGAGTGTTTGTCGGCGGCGTGGGGTGGCAAGAGAAGATGTAGAACGCGCGAGAGTGGGCGAGATGGGCGGGCGGGCGCCGGGGCTGAGTGCACTCGGTGTCAGAGGGGAGGCGGAGCGCGAGGGATCTGCCGAGGAGCCATTGGCGGTCGCAGGTTGTGCAGGCTCATCTTCTTCAGTCCACTGGAGGTGCAGGATGACGGACTTCGTAGCACACTGGAACAATGATGAGAGATTTATAGCAAGGAGAGACGAAGTACTGACAGTCATCTGAGTGCCTTTCGCCGCGAACCATCTATGAAGGAATGAGTAATTGTAGACGAGACAGATAATCGGGCGTCGTACTGTAACATGTTATCAGGCGCCTTCCCAACATTGAACAGCTTTGCGTTCAGAACGGGATCGCCGCCGCCCAACTCCGCCAGCCTGAACTGGGAGACCATCTCTCGGCGCTCTGGAAGGTGTCTCAGCATTGCGTCGCATCCAGAAAAGAGCAGAACTCACTGATAGAGAACACCCGAACAATTCCATCAATTGTCACGCTTACCACCCTCTCACCTTCCTGCCCCGAGCTACTGCCAATGATCTGCACGCCGATGTTGACCGTCGTCTGCTGCCCGAACCGCACAATCTTGGTCCCCGCTCGCCAGTCCCAGCATACGAGCGCCTTGTCGGCACCGGCGGAGACGAGGTTCTTCGAGGACAGCGCCACAGCACGAATACCATTCAGATGACCAGAGAGTTGTTGTAACGGAGTGAACGTCAGCGAGGAGAAAGGTGTACACGTCTAACGAAGGCAACCTGTTAGTGCTAGACCGACCAAGAGGAAGATGTGCATACCCAACATCGTGGAAGCCGACAACGAAGACCTCTACCAGGGTTAAGGGCGATCAGATGGGAGGAACATCCTTGATTACTTCGACACTCACCCTCATCTGCCAAGAAGTCGACACAGCTGACAGGTTTCTTAACCTGCAGGCACTTCTTCATCTCGCCCGTGTCAACATCCCAGAAGCGAATCGTCTCATCGTAAGAACCACTGATTAAGCGCTTCCCGCGCAGGAGCAACGTCGTGCAATAGTTGGTGTGTCCGTTGAGGAAGCGCACACTCTGCGGAAGAGCGTTCCGGAAGTTCGACTCGCGGTGGTGCAGCGAGCGGTACAGGGGCTCCCAGCCCTCCGGCTTAGCCGGAGGACGCACAGGCATCGGGTCTGTGGCGGTGATTCGTAGGCAGTGATACCTCCAGAGTGCCGGGGAATGCACCATTTCTTGCCATTTTTTGGAGACCTTGAAGCGCATGTCAATACATGACAACGACTAGGGTGAAGGGGCGTCTCACAGTCTCGACGCCGACGAGCTCCTGCACAGTGAGCCATTTAAAGACCTTGAATACCAGATCCGGCGCCAGGTTGCCGATGATGTCGAAGGTCGACTTGGCGTACTTCTCCAGCAAGAGAATTTGCAAACGGATGTCCCCAGGCATGCAGGAGTCCAGGATGAGTGCAATCCTAAGGGTGTGTGAGTACTGTCCGCAGTGCACGTCTGGAAATACACTAACAGCCGCATCCTATCATCCCTGTCTAAGCCCCGGACAGCTCTGCGTACCTCCATCTCGTTGAAACCGCCACTCCCGTCGCCTCTCAGCGCCGTCGCCAGGTCAATCTCGCCCGCGACGCCGTCGTTCTCGCCCCCACGGTACCCACTCCAGTACTCCTTTCGCCGCCGGCCGCCACAGACACAGAACCCGTCCACGTCCGGATCGGACACGACCGTGCCACCCTGCTCGCGCTCACGCTCCTTCTCGCGCAGCATCCCACCTCGGCCTGCAGCGCGTGTAGCTGCGCCGCAGTCGATGCCTGTGCGCGCTCGAGCAGCCGTTTGTAGTGCAGGATCTTGCGCGCATGGAGCGTCTGCACTGCCTGCAATGCTGTCTCCATCTAGGATATTGTCAGTGACGCCTACGTAGACTAGATAATATCCACGCGCCTCCTCGTCAACGTCCCGGTCGTCCACATCTGTTACCATGTCGAGTGTCATGTCGTCCCCGTCCCACATCGAGAACGACTCGTCCTCTTCGCCAAGTCCGGGCATGAGCGAAAGCGGGCGCAGCGGAGTCTCGCCCCTCGCCGCGCTTGCAGGCCGCTTCGACGACGCAACGCTCTTCGCCGGCGTGCTCGGCGACGCCTTCGCGCTCGGCGTGGTCTTTGCCCTCGTCGGCGTCGGCGACTTGGGAGGCCCCGTCGGCTTCGTAGGCGTCGCCTTAGGCGTGGGTCTTGGTGCCCTTCAAGCTGGGCGAAGTGAGCATGATGGACGGCGATTCTGGCGTGGACGACTCCGTCTTCTTCTGGGAGACAGCAGGCGTGGCGTGGACATGACCCGCATGCGCTGCGTGGGAGGCGAAGGCTTGCCAGCGGTTTCAGACGCGGCTGTGCCGAACACCGAGACAGACGTCGAGCGCGTCATCCGGCGCGACGGCGCGACGGACGGCGCTGCCTGAACGGGTGCATTGCTCTGGCGTGTCGCGATGGCCTTACGGCTCGTCGACGCGGACGGCGACACGCTGGACGTCGACTGGTCGGTGCGCGGGAACGCAGACGGCGGCGAAGCATGGGGTTCCTGCGTATCCCGCCTGCGGTGGGCATCATAGGCACCGTCTTGCTCCTCTTGCTCGCGTCGGCCGGCATCGGTGTCGCGTTGGGGGATCGCGACGTGCTGCTGAGGCTCCTGCCGGGCACGACGGTCGTCACGCCGCTCAAGTTCGACGCATTTGAGTCCGCGCGTGGCTTGGTGAGGCTCTTAGTGGTTGTACGAGTGTATCGGGTGGGAGTTTCTGAGGGCGCTGCGCTATGAGGGGGCATCGAAGATAGAGCCAACGTCGAGCTCGCCGTCGGGACGGTGAGCGCGACTTCAGCGCACCGTTTGGTGACCGTGTAAGTATGGGCGCTTATCTCGGTCGCCCTAAAAGGGTATTACATACTGACTTACTCAAACAAACCTTCTCTCGAACATCTTGATGGTTGTCAGTACGATGTTGGACTTCGCGTACGAAGCCCTCAGGCTCCCGGACAGGGGCGAGGTGAAGTCCACTAACCGTAAATAAGATGGTGCGTTGTCCTGGAGCTGTACAGAATAAGTGCCATCATACTGAACGAGGCACACATCTACATGTCGACGCGCCGCGATAAGACGCAGGCAGCGAAGGCGGAGGCGGACGATGACCATTGACGAAGAGCCTCAGCAGGAGCGCACGCTGTCGCCGTCGTCCGGCGTGGACTTCGACAAGGTCATTCTGCCCTCGACGGGCGCGTGGGCGGAGCTCGTGGAGGGCGCCAGCGTCAGCTCTGCGAGCGTGAGGGGTCTGCCTCCAACTTTCTGGGCTTGGCGACCTTTTGCACGCGGCGCGCCGCATGCTAGCCCTGAGACGACGCTGAAGAGACGGGGACGGAGACTTCGGAGGACTTGCTGCAAGAGTACTGACCCGGCGTATCTCTTCCTACTCTTAAGTGCGTCTTTCACCTGCTCTCTGATGTCGCTCCGACCGGGCTCCGACACCTCTTCACGTTCACCGGGACCTCCCCGCAGTTGTATCGCTTTGTCGCAAAGTAGCTGTGCACATCTCTATTTTGCTTCCGGTGTTGATACCTACACGTCTCGGCATACCGACTTCAACATATCTTTGGCTGATTCTCCGTCATATATAGCCCTGTTCTAATTGTTCCTCATGGATGACGGCGCAGATCGTACCGTCGGGGATGCATCTTCAGATTTATGAAAGAACCCAGGTATGGTCTCATTTTCATGTGTGCATCCTTCATGATCGTGCATTACACTATTGCAGACAGAATGTCACACTTCTTACTGTCTCCCATCGACTTATAAGCCTCATCCGCGACGGGAGTGGAGATTCAATATGAACTTGTAATGGATGAACATAGAATGAATGCAGGCGAACTTTTGAAGGCGTTCTAATCACGGCCACCTTTCCGGAATGAATGTCATTTATGCTTCATAAGTAAGTGGTGCAGCCTGCAAGATCCGCACTATTAGACACAAATTATACGGTACTGCATGTGCTAGTCTCCCGTAGGCAGACCCTAACCGTGATACGACGGCGACCGTGACCTTCAGTTGAGTGGGGGCGGTCGTGTACTACGGCTGTGCCTTTGAAATTTTGGTACTGGACACGTCGTGTACGGTTGCCCGATAGTCCGGGGCCGGGCATTTTGCACGACGCGCCTCAGCCACAGCGCATCGCTGGTCTGCCGCCTGCTCCATACCCTCAACAACTCACTCAATCCTCACTCTACGGTCATAGAAACGCTCCCGCTGCACTACACGCACCGGGAACAGCAAGATAGAGGTCCCAGGAGGTTCACATCGACCTCCAAAGTCCACAAGAAGGCATGACGACCTCGGGAAGTGGTAAGCGCCCGACGCGACTCGTACACAAGTCTGGGGGATACCTACACACCTGCACCACCTTTCTGGTTAGACTCAAGGCAGGATCGGACCGTGACGGGTGCTCTGAATGGAAAAGTATATATGATATGGTGAGTTATCATATGCACACACTGTGCCTTTACTTCTCAGACTACGGGTACGGCTCGAATCGGATCGGCCCATGCTCTCAGACTCGGACAGCGTTGCAGGCGCAGGAACTGATCTGCGAAGTCAACCGCCATAGAGCACGAGGGGAAGCACAGTGGTGCTTTCACCTGTATTCGTGGCTGCGACAGGTGAGTGATAGCATACCCTTGTCTCGGAGTCATACTGTGCCACAGGCCTTCGTGTACAGTGACAAAACTGAAATATATATTGTGTCTCGAATCGTACGCGTGCATCACCCCATTACTACCAAGAATAGCGTGTCTGAAGTACTGAGTACTGGATGCCTACACCGAGAGCCTCAGAAAGGTTATAGTACCACTTCACTGGGCCTGCAGGACGCACACTGCGGTATCGCTACCGAGGGTCATACCGTCCTATGATGATCTGCATACCTATTCGACATTCCCACATACTTACCTGTATCGAATGCCCATGCACCATAGTTGTGTCCTCCACACTTGTGCATTCGAGTCCGAGCGAGTCGCGGCGTTGTCGGGCGCTTACCACTTCCCGAGGTCGTCATGCCTTCTTGTGGACTTTGGAGGTCGATGTGGACCTCCCGGGACATCTATCTTGCTGTTCCCGATGCTTGTAGTGCAGCGGGAGCACTTCTATGACCGTAGCGTGAGGATTGAGTGAGTTGTTGAGGGTATGGAGCAGGCGGCAGACCAGCGATGCGCTGTGGCTGAGGCGCGTCGTGTAAAATGCCCGGCCCCGGACTATCGGGCAACCGTAGTCGTGTTCCCAATGCCAATGGTGGCCCTCGACACGCGACACACGCATTTATCCCAGCAATCATACGCATGGCATCAGGAAGACCCAAGATCAATGAAGTCCTCCTGTAGCAGGAAAGGCGTGTGTCCGTCGTACAGCTCTAGCACAGTGTTCCATACATAGAAGTCTTATTATATATACCCTAGTCCGACTTTTGCAGTCAGCGCCTCGAGGTTCCTCACGATGCCGCGCTTCCATTGCTGGGAGAGAATACGCCGTTTTCTCCATCGATATATGTCACACCACTCGGCGGGAAAGCAAGTATCACAGACGTATGTCAGTGCTACAGGCGGTGCTATATTTCAGCAAGAGGCGCACGAGTGAGCTCAATCTTCCGAACACCGTGCAGGATAAATGAACTGACATGTCTAGAATGCAATCCACTCAACAGTCATACCACACGCCAAAAGATGAGGTCACGTAAGAATGAGCCGTTTCACATATCGTCCCCATTGATGCATGTTGATACAATGCTGCTGCAGCGGAAAGAAAGACCCACTGTCGGGGACTGCACACTCCCAGAAACCTTTGCAGTAAGGCGTCAAAATGCCCGTCCGTGATTTTGATGCTAATGCTACTGTCAGAATTGCTTCTGCTGGTATACTTGGCACCACGGAGGGATACCACCCCTTTCAGCAGACCCGCTATGATCATCTCGTCGGTGGACGACCACCCAGTCGCCTTTTCGCCCTCGTTATCGCCATTGATCAATACCAGGACGTCCGAATCAACGACCTCCATGGCTGTACTCATGACGGTACTGACTTCGTCCGATTCCTAAGGGACACTTTGCGTGTTCCCCCAAGCCGGATTGTCCAACTCATCGACGCTGAAGCAACACGTGCCAATATCCTCGACGCCTTCCGCGACCAGCTCATCAACAACCGTGACATCAAGCACGGAGATGCCATGGTGATCTTTTACGCAGGCCACGGTGACCGCAGGGCCGCGCCTCCGGCCTGGGCCGCCGAAGACAACATGGTGGAGACGATCTGTCCGCACGACGAGGGGATACCGGACGAGCAGGGGCAGACTATCATCGGAATCCCCGACAGGACGTTCGACGGCCTCATGCGGTGTCTGGCTCACGAAAAGGGAGACAACATCGTACGTTCTCCTGGGTTGCCATTACACAACTCGCACAACAACTGACTGACATGGCCACCGTGTATATAGCTGGCCATCTTCGATTGCTGTCACTCCGGTGGTGTGATGCGCGAGATGACTGGGACGACGCGCGCGCTCAGTCTCGAGCGCCACCGTGAACCGATCCCAGAAGACCTCGACCAGGAGATCTGGACGTGGCACTCTGAAGGCGCGAGTCGTGACGTGAAGATGGTCTTCCCTGCGGGATTTTCATACCCAGCCATGCGTTCACACGTTCTCCTGGCAGCCTGCCGTCAGGACGAGAAGGCACAGGAGACCCATATCAATGCTGAGGGGAACACGAGGGGGCTTTTTACGCTCCATCTGCTAAAATGCCTGCGCAGAGCATTTGAAGAGGAGGCGTCCCTTCCTCAACTCACATATGCGCGTCTCGTGGACCGTCTCCTGAGCCCCGAGGTCATGAAGCTATGCGGAACCTCATTGGACGGACAGCATCCGCTGTGCGAGGGAAAGAACAGGGATCGGCTGCTGTTCAGTACGTCCGAGCTTATGGGAGAGGAAAGTTCCTTCGCAATGCAGTACGAAAATGGGCGCTTGTACGTCTCTGCGGGGCGCATTCATGGCGTTGTCAAGGGCACGCGGTTCGCTGTACAGGCTTCTAAAGCCAGGTCGATGTGCACGCTCGATAACGTCGTACTCATTGCAGCTCACGTCGACGGTCTACAGTGCATCGTCCAGCCAAGCACAGCAGATCTTCCCTTGTGTGCATTCGACCACACAAGGGTGGTAGTGATCACTTGGAACTCTGCGCCGATGAAAGTCAGAACGTCCGTGCCTGTTTCACAGCAAGGCCTGCTGAATTGCACGGAGGTAGAGCCGAAGGAGTATCATGACGTCTCCATCGAGATGGGCACCGACTGTTGGATCCTCAGTCGGTTCGATCCATTGACATTTCGATACGCAGTCCAGCAACAGATCTTCAAATTCACGGATATCTCGCTGCAGTCCGCAGAAATACTGGAGGCCGTTGCACGCTGGAATTTCTATTTGTACCACTTCAGCGATTCTGGGCCAGACGACGCAAATCTGCAACCAAGTGTACAACTGCACCGTCTTGAGGACAAGTCGGAGGCAGGGAGCTTGTGGCCGCTCCTTGCACAATCCGGTGATGATCTGTTCGGAGCTGCGAAGGGTGAACCAGTCTGGGGCTCCCCTTTGTCGGCGTACAAGGTACCGGGGTTGGTGAAAGAAGCGCTTCTTCATGACATGGCACCGTACTATGGCCTAACACTGTTTAACACCTCTGAGTACGATCTCTTCCCCTATTTGTTCTACTTTAACCCCTCTACTTGTGCCATACAGGTGAGAATACACTATAATCTGTGATATACAGGAGCGTAGGCTGACCGTATTCAACGAATTAGGCTTGGTACCTACCCCACGGCAGCCAAGTGAAAGCTCCGCTGCCTCAACGGAGTGGCAAGGGCGTACCTGGCAGGTTGTCTATCGGCTATGGCTCTGGGGCGCTGATAGCATCAAGTTCTGGCTTCCTGCGAACGTCGAGCGAGATACTGGCTTTCTCAAGTTATTTGTCTCGACGTCGTACGTCGACATGAGGAGTATTCAACAAGACGGCCTCGTATCCTCGCAGGGTCGGGGAGTCAGCAAGGTAATCGTGGATGTGCCATTTACCGATAGCTGGGTTTCTTCGGTGTACGTGTTGACCTGCCTCGAGTCTCCACCGAGTCCTAGTATATAATGTAGTAAATACTGCCAGTAGCCTTGCTTCACTGGTAATAGCATCGTTAAATAATTGTAACATTCTTTGACCATCACGGGGGCCGAGTCCAAGACGCTGGGCGTCGGCCGCCTGGCAGTCGACAAAGCCTCCTAGGCTCCAGGTCACCCGCTTGACTGTCCGAAGGAAACGAGACTTGAGTAAGGTAGTAGCCTCCTCAATTAGAATTTATTGCGCCAATTTATTTCTTGTCGCCACAGCTTGGCCGGCGACGGTCGTGATGTTCGATGAGATCCGGTTGATCGTGTTGCTCGGTGGCCGCGCGCGAGCTCACGCGAATCTGGTAACCCTACGATAGGAGTTGTGTCGGGCTCTGAACTTCGCCACTGCCTGTCACTGTCCCTCGTATAGCGGCTACTAGTACTTGTACTGATGCATCTTCTGAAAGAGAAATTGGGAATGGAGCACCCCATGTGCATGCAGGGTAGCATACCAGCTCGAGGTCATCATCAGTGGCTGCTCTACCGACGCCCGTCTCGGACAGTTCCCGCCATATGCTTATGTAATAATGTAACTGGCCTGTAGACACCCCAAAGACATTTTCCGTCATAGCTCACTTCATTGACAACCTTAGCAGCAATTCTCATGCTTCATACATTGCAATCCGTTTTTATCACTGGATTCCGGGACATTACAGTGATTCGGGCCACTACACCCTCTGCAACGGGTATGCCCGCCACCTGCTTACATAACCCAGTATAGACACACCGTAATTCCCTGCGTACTCAGCAGCTCTTCTCTGGAAATGTTCGTGGGCCTGATATTCTGTCAAATTCCTTCTTTTCCACTTATTTTCTTTCGCCCGACACTCGTCTGTACACTTGTGGCATCTCTCGGCCGCTCGGCGCCCATAGCGATAGCTTCGACGCAAACCCCTCCTCCACACTAGTTCTGAACTTACGTGGGGTGGCCGAGATCCTCGACCGATATAAGTAGTAAAATGTTACACTGCCTTCGCGAAGTCTCATCTGCATCCGTCCGGTCACCGTTACTCCGTCTGTTAGACGAGTCGCTCATATCCGGGACGTCGACATCCTTCGTCTCCCATAGGCATTCCCTGAATGTCGAGGGGAGGAGGTCGTATCAGAGGCCATGGCCATGCTCGCGGTTTATCAGGATGCTTTGGGCGCTCACGCGCTTCAGCCATCTCTGCTCTGGCTCAGCGGACGGGTCGCTTGCTGTCGCCACTGCGAAGTCGTTCTCCTGTAACGGGCGTTGGATGGGCACTTAGACGAAGTGCTTGCTTCTGTGGTAAGCACGATATGTTTGGCTGTACCTGATTGGGACACTATCAATATTTCAATCGTGCCGTTGCGCGCTTCACTCGATAGGCAGTGATATGTCGGTGAGCCGCAACGACACGGGGACTTGACATTCATGGCAACTCTGCAGGGCGGATAGCGCGTACTATTCACAGGGAGACCACCAAAGCTGGACATTAGATCGTCCAGAGACAGCCTCCGAGTTCCTGCACGTATCAAACCTTTCAGTGAACCAATCACCCTAGTTCCACTCGACCACCTGAGTGAGGGTGACCAATGGCAATCTTGGTTTGTAAGCGCCTGCTAATTCATGTAAGAACTTCCAACCGATGTGCGTGCTTTGTCCACAGTTCTTGCGTTCTCCGATCTCACGACACACAGATAGCAGCAATGCTGAATTGTGATCTGTGGCTGTCGACACGCAGCCCGGGACGCATCGCAAATAGCGAATACACATGATGTGTCAGAGTGCACGGCATCTATATCGATTCCTACATGCAGCCTGTGCGTGCACATACCCTGCGCCCCAAGCATATTCAACAAAGCAATATCTATAAAGGTCGCGTCCTTCATCATGTCACTGGCAAAGCTGCGAGAGGACCCTCTACAATGCCTTGCACTCCACAAATTTCACGCCTGTATCGATGGTTGAACGACAACGTTCGTCGCCGTGACCATCCTGCGGAAGAGCAGCCCTCGATGTAGGAATCCGTTTGATTTCATGTTCGATGCTGACTGTTTCCTTGCTCCATAGGGTGGACACACTCAAGGAAGACCGCAAGACTTCAAGCGAGAAGGGGACGCGAGGGTGAGCATCGACTCCGAGAGATACGCTGTGCAGAATCATTAGGCTGAGCTTTGGCTAGAATACACCTTTCTCCTGGGCCTGGTTCCGCATCAGGTGATGTTGATGAGTCGCAGTAAGGAACCCCCATGCTTGTACTCTGAGCTGCAACGTTTATGTCATATCAGGACATCCCATGTCGCCAACGACGTCATAGCAGCATCGCATACTGGCCAAGAGCCCCTCAACGATAGGCAGCTAGAAGCTCGCATCTTCGCCCTGGTTATTGCTATCGACAACTATCGTAATTCAGAAATCAATAAACTTCAAGGTTGCGTTCCCGACGCTGAGGACCTCCACAAGTTCCTCGAGGATACGCTCAAAATTCCTTCCCATCGGATTCGACGGCTCTACAACGAACGCGCTACACGTCGCGCGATCCTTGACACCTTCATATCCCATTTCATCGAAAACATCGACATCCAACCAGGAGACACGATGATATTGTTCTACGCAGGTCACGGTGACCGCGAGACTGCGCCTGAAGGCTGGAAAGCTCCCAACAACATGGTCGAGACCATCTCTCCGTACGACGTTCATACGAAGGATACCGACGGGAATGCCGTTCTAGGCATCCCAGACTGGACGATTGACTGCCTGATGCAGCGTCTGGCAAAGGCCAAAGGCGACAACATAGTGCGTCAGTTTTGCTGGCTACGTTTTGTGAAGTTCGAAGCTGACCCATGCGGGTAACGTAAAAATAGGTCGCAATATTCGATTGTTGTCACTCGGGCGGCGCATTGCGAGAAATTACGGAGGACGCTGGTGTGCCACGCGCATTGCACTTTGAGGTTTCACGCACACCCATTCCATTGAACCTTGATGAAGCCATCCATGCGGGGGCCTATGAAGCCACGTCCGTCTCCGCGGAAGAGGCCACGTCTCATCGCTATGCGCACTCGTCAACGCGCTCGCATGTCCTTCTGGCGGCGTGTAGAGAGGAGGAAAAGGCCCGCGAGGATACCGTTTTGCCAGCCACCGCGAATACTGCCGTGGTCACAGGCAGCAGCGCGTCCACGCGCCGTGGGTTGTTTACGTATCATTTGCTGAACTGCCTGCGCCGTGCATACGAGGCAAAGTCTCAACACCAGCTCACGTACGCGCGGCTCATGGATCGCTTGCTAAACCAGGACGCCATACAAAAGTTGAAAGGGCAGCATCCGCTTTGCGAAGGGAAGAACAGGGACAGGATCTTGTTCAGGAAATCCGAGTTGGCTGGCGAGGCGAATTCATTCACGATGCGATGCGATGCACAACCTAGCGGACCTAGGAGTATCTATGTCGATGCCGGTCGTATCCTCGGCATTACGGAGGGAACAGAGTTCACCATGCAAACTCCTGGGTCGGACGACTCTGCCAGCGTCACGGTGCTCACCGTACTGGCTGTCGAAGACCTATGGTGCACCGTCCAACCGACTCCGCCACTGGAAGAGGTACCATGTCTGGACGATGCGAGAGCAGTGTTCTATACCTGGAGAAGGGAGCCGATGAAAGTCGTGACCTCCTTGCCCAAGCTCGAACATCTGGCAGGCGAACGACGCCAGATCGACTATGCGGTGACCACTTCGACGGAGGAATGCGATGTCTCCCTTGAGAGGGGTACCGAAGGTTGGGTCTTGGAGAGGTTCGACCCGTTGACGTCCCGGTACAGAAGGCGTCAGATTTTTGACTTCTCCTTTCTGTCGGGAGAAGTCCTGGCAGCCGCAGCGCGGTGGAACTTTCATTTGTATCGTTTCAGCGGGCCTGAAAGCCAGAGTCGGGTACTCCGGCCTATAACGCAGTTGCATCGTCTCAAGGACACACACACGCCAAACTCGCTGCGGCCGATTCTTTTACCAGAAGGCGATAACCTATTCAAGAGCTCGAACAAATTTGAAGCGGCCGTATCCTCTTACGAGATCCATGACGCGGTCGAAGAAGCGACCCTGCATGATTTGGCACCGTACTATGGCCTGACATTGTACAATCACCACATCCAAGATCTTTACGCCTATGTTTTCTACTTCAACCCGTCGAATTACTCCATCCAGGTGAGGCATTCTTGTTGGCCGTAGAGCGTGAAATCTGATTTTGATTAGTTGTGGTACGCACCAGAGGGAAACAACGTAGGACCTTCGCTGCCCAAACGCAGGACCGACGACACGCCTGGTGAATTGACCATCGGCTACGGTGATGGGTCAAACAGCGCTATCAAATTTACAATACCTGACGGCGTCGAGACCGACACCGGATTCCTGAAGATCTTTGTCTCGCCGTTGTACGTCAACATGAGAAGCATCGTGCAGAATGGTATTGAAGCGCTGCGTGACGGGGGCCCGAGCCCGCTGCCGATCAAAAGCTCCTGGGATTCTTCTGTGTACGTCCTAACATGCAAGTCTCCTGATACAGCCAGTCAGTAGTGAGTCTGGAAGCATACTGTAGCTACCGGACTGACATACTTTGTACTGTGTACTCTGATGATACTGGCAACGTTACTTCATGAACAGCTTGGTTTTTACGACAGCGACATAGATAGGATACCATGATTGTTGTTTGTATCTTGCAGGTTAGTAATCGATCAACACACGGAATGCCTCAGTCACCTATTTGTGCTACTCTCGTTTGTTGGTCGTGGTTCAGCGAGATACAACGAGCATACTTCCAGCAAAAGACTGTTATACACCAGCTATACATAGGATTCAACCCAAGACATTTGGAAGCGACCTCACTTCCCAGCAGCCGCAGCCACACGTCCTGCCGCGGCATCGTGGTCGCGGTGCTTCAGCTCTTCCTTCGCTTCGCCCATCTCATCCTCTGTCGGGAAGCTCGCGAACCAGTCCTGGATCTTGTCGACTGGGGCGGCAAGTAGCCCCACGAGGGTCTCGAACGGTGGGCGGTTCGGCGCGCTCGGGTGTGATCTGTACACGTACCAACGATGTCAATCCACAGGTGTCGGGTGAGCAGGGGAGGGGAAAGAACGTACCGCGTCGGGACGAGCTTCTTCGTCTTCTTGAAGGACTGGGCGGCCTCGCGGCTCGCGTTGGTGCTGATGACGGCCTCGAGCATGGGCAGGTCCTTGATCTCTTCGTCGTCGTTGTGTGGGTGCAGGCTCGCCATAACGAGCTCAATCGTCTGGCTGTAGTCCTCCTGCTCCGGCTTGAGTGACTCAAGCTTGTACAGGAACTCCTTTATGTGCTATGCGACGCAGAGCCCCACTGAGCAAAAGCCATCACAGGTTTAATTGAGGACGCGGGCTCACCTGGTGCTCCTCACGATCGTGGTCCGCGAGCTGCTTGCCCTTCTCGCCGAGGTGCTTCTCCATGAGTGGGTAGACAACGATCTCCTCGCCGACGGCGTGCCGCGCGACCTCCCATGTGAGCTGGCGCGCCCAGCGGGCCTGCGCTGCGAGATCGCCGGCCTCGCGTGCGCGCTTGTATTCGTCGTGGTAGAGGTACATCTGAGCGCGGTCGAGGTGAGCGTCATTGCGTTCCCGTCAGTCTCGTTGACACCTGTTGTGGATGCGGTACGCAGACCCGCCGCGGGGGTGTGTGGAACGAGGATTTGGCTGGCGAGATGGCCGACGGTTGGCGAAGTCACGCACTGGCTACAGCGCACCGTTGCCGCTCAGAGATGTGTTCTCCAACTTGACTCTGGCGTCAGTCTCGCTCACGGTGACCGTTGGCCCAAACCCCAGCTTCACACACTCAGTGCAGGCCGGCCTATCGTTTCTACAACAGCTGGAACACGCACCTCTTCGTGATCCTCCTTGATAGCTTGGAACAGCGTCTTGGACGACATGGCTCTGATATTGAAAGCGAAGCGGTATGAGGTTCGTTTAGAGGGTGAAGCAGCGCGGATTGACAGGATGGTGCGAGGTAGGGGATTCATGTTGGACGGCGGCGCGCACCTGCTTTTATGTGCTCGGCTGGCGTATGAGGACGTTTCTGACTGTCATGCTGGTCATAGACACTGGTCGACCTAGTGGAGAGGTAGCTTCATGACGCTGAAGCACCAATGATGTCACTTCCGAGCTCGAGATGACAACCAATCATAGTGCTGGTATTCGCTCATCGCCGTTCTTGGGCCTTGGAAGCTTGGCCAGCGGAGAGCTTTCTCGGTTCGCAAGCTGCAGCTGAACGATTTGTCCTGCAGATGAGACCGGAGGTGAATCTTGGGTGAATCAATGTCATTGTCAGAGTGAGAAGATACGCGTCAACCCTAAACTGCGCCGGAAGTCGCAGAATTCACGTGATACATGGGTTATGGCAAGTATTAACTTGAACCATTTTTACTCCTCCTCGGTTCGCCGCCTCCTCCGGAGCTGCACTACCAAAAGCGAGTCCAGATCCATGCCTCACGCTTACACCGTGAACCAGGTAGGTTTTCCTGTCTTATTGTAGTGAGCGAAGGGATAGCCGGTCTGTGTACATCCTAGCCTCGGAGAGTGTCCGAACCTGCACCAGCCCGCACCACCGTTATGGCACTATAGATTCATGGTACAGTACTCCATCTTCCACATAAGCTATGCGATTGCACATTCTGGTAGTCGGTGCGTGCTTTATTCTATGATCTGCTGTCTTTTCAGACTCTTATTAATTCTCAGAACGATAGTCACTTGTGAATGCGAGCGACATACAGTATGATGACTCTCCGTGACACGTTCAGTCAATCCCGGAAAGCTTACAGTCCAAGACCGTGATTGCGGGAGTACAGTATGCTTGCGAGGAAGATCAGTCTACGGGAACGCCATTCCGCGGCTACATAGATGTTCCACTTTGTAAACCTCTGGCAATTGGCACACTATGGCCTGCATGCACGTTCCGCTGCTTCTCTCGTCTGCTGGCTCTTCTGAAACAAGAGACGAAGGAGAGTCGCAGTCAGATACGAGCAGACTTGTACGTTATTCACGTTGTTCGTCTCGGTGCGTCCCCCTATACACGTCAACTCCAAGCATAATGGCATATTTGATCCACTCAGAGACAGTGTTGGCGAGGCTTCTGTGTGGAACGAGCCGGGAACTGGGAAACATGCCTCAAGGCGTGATGTGGCATCGGATCCGCATCAAGTACGCTCACAACTGCCCCAAACCTTCTCTGTCGAGCGTCAATGATCAACGTAGCTCAGGCATTTCCAGGAGAAAGCACAATGCTGCGCACAGGGATGACCATGCGTGCATAGCCCACCGTTCTTTATTCAATGGCACGCCGTATCTCACAGTCTAGATGCTGCCTATCGTCCCGCGTTGCACAGTCGGTTGGCGCCAGAGTGTCGCCTTCGTGTTCTGTGGCCATCGGCACGCGGCACAGGACACATTCACACAGGGAAGCCTGACGGTGCGTCTCAATGCCTCCAGCTCAGGGCCTTAAGAAGCCTTGCGCGGAAGCATGCTTCCGTCGTGCAGCCCAAGTGTGCTCAGTGGAAGGTGCGCTATATATCGGCCCAATCCTCCAACCTGTATGTTTCTCAACATGCCGCGCACCAAGTGTTTCGAGGCCATGAAACGGTTCTTCAAACGACAAGCTGGTCGCCGCACAGAGGCGGAAGGTCAACCTTTGTAGGGTGATGTTTGGCTGCACGGACCACACTAGCACTGATTTTCGCACAGGGAGGAACCTACGCGTGCCGATGTGAGTGGTCCCGTTGATCGCGGAGCGCAAATGTAAGTTTTGGGCATGGCAAGGCGCAGAAAAGAGAAGCTAATATTTGGCTAGGACACACGTCACTCCACACTCGAATCTCACACCGAGCAATGAATCGAAGACAGAGTGAGAGCTTTCACTTGGTTTTTGAACTGATAGCTATTGACGCTGCGCTCATAGAGGGGAGAAAGTCTCAATACCGAGCCAGGGAAGCACCATAAACGAAGGTGGCAAGTAAGTTGCACCCCTGTTACATAGACTGTTCGATTTGACACCTTTTAAGAGCGGCGTTTACGGGAGCTGTTGGCTCTGCGGAGGCTGCTGTCGCTCTCCAAGAAGCCAACAAGGATGTCGACGACGGTCTCAGCCGGGAGCGCAACAATCGCATCTTCGCCCTCGTTATCGCCATAGACGAATACAAGAGCGGCGAAATCATTAACCTCCACGGCTGTATCCACGACGGCGATGACTTCACAAAATTCCTCACGGAAACGTTACACGTCCCCGAGTCCCGGATTGTCCGGCTCATTAACGTGGAAGCAACGCGGGCGAGAATTCTCGACAAATTTGACAAAGACCTCATCAACAATCCTCTGATCCACCGCGGCGATCCGATTGTCATTTTCTACGCAGGCCATGGTGACCGGAGGTCAGCACCCCTCACATGGGCCGCAGAGAATAACATGATCGAGACGATCTGTCCGCATGACGAGAGGATGCCGGATGAGAAAGGGGAGATCGTCAATGGGATCCCAGACCGGACGTTCGACGGCCTCATGCGGCACCTGGCCAACGAGAAAGGCGACAACATCGTACGTCTATCCTCTCGCCCATCCACCGTTTCGCACGGCGGCAGACATAACTCTCGTTGACGTTGCATCGTGCATAGATTGCTGTCTTCGATTGCTGCCACTCCGGTGGCGTGATGCGCGGAATGACCGGGACGCCTCGCGGGCTGAGTCCGGAGCTTCAACGGGCACCAATCCCAGAAGATCTCGATCAGAATATCTGGACGTGGCGTCCCGACGGGACAGTCCGCGACGCGAATATGGCCGTACCCACGGGTTTCTCCTACCCAGCGATGCGCTCGCATGTTCTCCTTGCCGCCTGCCGTCAGGATGAGAAGGCGCAGGAGAATCGTGTCAGCGTGGATGGCAACACGCGGGGACTGTTCACGCTCCACTTGCTCAAGTTCCTGCGTAGGGCGTACGAGCAGGCGGAGCCCCTCCGCCAGCTTACGTATGCGCGCCTGCTGGACCACCTGCTGAGTCCCGGGGCCATCGAACTATGCGGACACCCCTTGGATGGGCAACACCCTCTGTGCGAGGGGAAGAACAGAGATCGGTTGCTCTTCAGCACGTCCGAATTATCGGGAGAGGAGAGTTCGTTCGCCGTGCGCTACGAGAACGAGAGACTATACGTCGCCGCAGGGCGCATTCATGGCGTCGTGAAGGGTACGCAATTCAACGTGCAAGCTCCGAAAGGAGTGGCCGGGATCTCGCCCGATGGCGTCGTGCTCACTGCAGATGACGTCCGGGAATTGGAGTGCATCGTGCAGCCAAGTATGCCAAACCTACCCGCGGATGCGAGGGCAGTGGTAGTCGCCTGGAACTCCATGCCGATGAAAGTTCGGACGTCTGTCTCTGTCTCACATCAGGGTCTGCTCAACTACACAATGGTGCAGCCGAAGGAGTATTACGACCTCTCACTCGAGACGGACGGCGACTGTTGGATCATCGATCAATTCGACCCGTTGACGTTCCGATACGCGGTACCGCACAAGGCCTTCAAGTCTGCGGACATCGCTGTTCAGCCGAACGAAATCCTCGAGATCGTGGCTCGCTGGAACTTCCACTTGTATCGCTTCAACCAGCCCGCCGACCAATACACTCCTGACAGCGTGGAACGCCTTCGGCCGAAGGTAGAGTTGCATCGTCTTGAGGCGAAACCCGAGGCGAGACAGTTGCGGCCTCTCTTACAGAAGATTGGTGAAGACTTGTTTGAACGCGCGAGCGCGGATGAAGTTTGGTGTTATCCGTTATCCACATACAAGGTACCGGGAACGGTGAAGGAAGCGCGTATCCACGACATCGCACCATACTATGGCCTGACACTGCTCAACGACTCCGATCACGACCTCTTTCCTTACGTGTTCTACTTCGATCCCTCCAATTATGCTATACAGGTAAGTAGTCTTCACGACTTGATCTACATGTCATTCGTGGTTGACAGAGTATGTCAGCACTGGTATCTGCCACCTGGTAACAAAGTCAAAGCTCCACTGCCCCGACGAAACGGGGACGGCGAACCTGGTCGACTAACAATCGGCTACGGTGCGGGAGGAACTGACAGTATCCGATTCTCACTCCCAGTCAATGTCAAGAAGGACACTGGCTTCCTCAAGATCTTCGTCTCAACTTCGTATGTCGACATGCGGAGCATCGAGCAGAATAGTCTGGTGAAGCGGAAAGACCGAGGGGCAGACAAGGTAGAGTTGCCGTTCAGTGACACATGGGTTTCGTCGGTGTATGTCTTGACTTGCTGCGAGCGTGAGCAACCAGCTCCTAGCGGACCTTAGTAGTGTCGTACCAGTGCCTTGGACTTGAGCTCAGGTGTAACCCAAATATGATATTGCTATCGCGCGGGTTGTTTTGTTAGACCGAGCGACGCGACTGATATTAGCGAACGTACATAATGGGCCCCGGGATCCGCATCTACCGTCGACTCCTAGCTGCCACTGGTGATTCCGCTCAGGACGAACATCTCCCGGCGACACGGACGGACGATACCCTACCCTCCGAGGTCGCTAGCAGTGAACAACCAAAGACATTCCTCAGCCCGGGCACACGCAGACGCAGACGCCCAAGCACATGCGGCGGCAAGAAGGTCCAGGCAGCGAAGGCACGCAAGACCGCCTGATAAGCTACCGAAGCTGGTGCCATAGTCTCGGGCACTGTCATCCTGAAGTGAAGCTTTAAGTTCAGAGCAGTGGCTGAGTCTGAACGCAGCAACGGGTGCTAACGAAGCTCGAGGTCGATGTTGGAGAGGTGCTGCCGACGACCTCTGTTGGCGCCACGGTATTGGCCATCGTATTTCAGCCGCCGTTGCCGATGCTTCCGGAGGATGGACCGGCAACGATGGCGAGCCATTCGCCGTCATCATCGCTACAGTCTGGGGAGGTTCGTTTGCCGTCGCATGTTTGTGCTCTGTCGTAAAGACTAGCCCGTTGCCGTCACCTGTGCTCGAGACCCACACTGCCTGTCCCGCTGCCTATGAATGTGGATGATTACATATTGACTGCCGTCGCCGACTCGGACGGGCCTGCTGAGGACTCTCGGCCGCGATCGTGAAAACCCAAGCAGGACCAGCCACCGTCGGTGTACTCGCGACCTTATTTCGTCTGACTCCGGTGACCTCGCCGGCGGTCGGCAAGAGTTTTAGAGAACGCATATTTGTCCCAAGCGGAAGTCTAGGCACCCTCTGAGGATGGCGGCTGTGGGAGCTGCTGTGGCCGCCGCGGTCGTCAAGCAGTTTCTCTCCAAAAGCCCACCTGTCCAGGAGTCCGCGTAGCTTCCGGAACCTAACACGACTCGAGGGACTCGGGTGGGACTCGAGCTTCATGCGGTCTTGTGAACATTGTCACAGCTATACGGCGATGCTGAGCGCTGATTGACGAAAAGATAGCATCAACATACCAGGTGATTCGAGAGCCTGAGCACAGAGAAAGCGGAACTTGCGACGCACGTTCTCCGGAGCTATATCAATCTCATCGCAAAATTTGATCATGGTAAGCAGATGGTAAGTACTAGCGTTGACTCCGATGAGCACACATTCTGATGCCAGGTTACGAATCATCGTGGCAGGGCACTGGCACCTACCGAGCTTGAGCATGTCATTCGGGAGAGCGAGGACATGAGTAGCAACTCCAGCATTGATGAGAGGAACCTATCTGTCTTCGGGATGGGAGAGGCTTCAGCGTACTATGGTCCCGCGGGTACATAGTAAACAGAGTTGAGGTGCCAGCGGTCAGAAGGAAATTTTGATTGTAGCTATGCTCAAGCTCATGGTCGGCAAGCCCGTCATCGTGAGGCCTTGAGGAGGCAGTCGTATAACAAAATAAAAGATACATGTTGGAGGAGATCACGACGCCGAATGAACTGACGAGTTCAAACGGCGAGAGTCGGCGATCGGGCGCTCTTCGGCGCCTGCCTGAGCCAGCCTGAGCCTCTCCGAGTCGTGCTCATCCCAAGGATATCTATTAGTATACGCCCCATAGGTCTTTTACTCGCCACTGCTCGCCGGTATAGTCATGTATACCCTGGCGACTATCACAAGGCCCAAAGGCGTCCCGCCCTTCCGAGTCGGCGAGCGGTACTTTGTCGAAGCATGGGAACGATGGGACACACGCAAGGCCAGATGTATGATTAGAGACCATCACGGCCTAGGCGGGCGTGGCCATGTATGTTCAAGTTATTGGTACGTCCTGAGCATGCTAGATCTCGAGTTCATGTCTGCCTTGCTCCTGCCTCGAGTGAAAAGTCCATACTCCGTCGACCGCGATGCTTCGCTCACAATCCACGCGTCTACAGCGGCAAAGAATCCTCGCCCAGGCCTTCCTCCAGTGTCCCCTGCACAAAGGCCCGCCTAATATCGCTAGACACACATACTACCAAAGCTTATCCGAGTGATCCCACGGCTGGAGAGAAGGCGCACGGGCGCACTAACGCATACAGTGGCCACCTGAGGGTTCTTAAGCTTGAAGGTCTGCGCCGAAATCAATGACGGTGCGTGTCCGTGACATGTTCAGCGATCTACGAGGAACTGGTCAGTAAATATCCCTTTGTTGGTCGTCATCATGATAGACACCTGCGCTGAGATGCTTAATGTTCCGTTGTCGAATGCTAGCCGCACAGCGATTGAAGCTGCGCCGTAACAAGCCTAACGGCAGACTTGGGCAAGACTTGGGCACGAGCTCGCGGAGAGCCCGCTGGGTCGCAATTCAAGTACCGCCAGCTCTATGCCTTCTCGGTTGAGCGTCCGTCTTGACGCGGAGCTTACATCTTTTCCAGAGAACAACGCCGCATCTCTACTGCTGTGATCTACACTTCAGATGCGGTCTCTCACAGCGCCATTCGTGGTTTTCGCCTACAACAAGACCTAACAAGACACCGAAGTTACGTAGAAAGGTTGTTCTTTGTCGAATCTATGATGTTTCATGTTTTCAGTCCACTAATTCGTGGATCTCAGGCAATACGGGATGTGTAATAGTGTACGTGTCATTCAATAACATCTCGGTTTGCGTGGAGCGGGATCCTCTACAACAACCGAGGCCTCGCAGTGAGAGGTTCCGAGTTCTCGGAGGATAGTCCCAATATAGACTCAATGCCAAATGATCTGACAACATTCTGACGTTATCTGGGTCTTGCCTCCGTTTTAGCCTGCGAAGATGGATTCGCACAGCTGAATGGCGTATAGCTGCTTTGCGCTGTGGTCCATTCCTCATCCCTTCTCTCCAGTTCTAGACAAGGTTATGTCGCTCTGTTCAATAGGTTCTGTTCTGTGGTCAGCAACACGCAGGTCGAGACGCACGCGCGTTCAGAACACAATGATGCGGTCAACGGTGCGTCCTTATCCAGTGGCCATCTGTGTACTTTAATTCATGTGCATGTCCACACTCGCCGCCACAGTATCAACACCTGCTCAAGCGTGAGTGAATCATCTGTATGTTCCGTCCTACGCCGGCAGGACCAAAGATATAAAGGGACCTACCAAGCTCTCGATGCTCCACTCGACACCGCGACACTACCCAGATGCCGCCCCATACCGGGAGCCAAGGCCAACATCGATCAGCTCATGCTCAGCCTCAATCGTGCGTCGACAATGACCACTCCTAGATTGCGATTTGCTTATATCTCCTTCGCTCAGCAGTGTAGAGAGATCGTCGACCCCAGGGGAGGCAGCCGCTAACTTGAATGACGTGCCCAAGTATGACACATTATTGTTACGCTGATGTCTTTGTACTGACGCAATTCCAGGATGGCCCCTGCAGATGCAGTTGCCGACTCGGACATGCTCCAAACAAGCAACCCTACTCCGAAGAAAGATGCACATACACCCATTTTCGGCCTACTTGTTGCTATCGACGAGTACCACAGCAACGACATCCGAAACCTCAGAGGCTGCGTCAACGATGCCAATGATTTCGCCGACTTCCTCACGGTCACGCTTGGCGTCCCTAGTGCACAGATCGTTCAGCTCAGTAATGAACAGGCAACACGTCGAGCCATCCTCGACACGTTCGAGAGCCATCTCATCAATAATTCTAATATCAAGGAAGGCGATGCGATAGTGTTCTTCTTTGCTGGCCATGGTTCCCAGGTCCAGGCACCTGAAGGCTGGATTTCTCCCAATAACAAGATCGAGACGATTTTACCATGCGATGTCCTCACAGTGGACAGCGGCGGGAAGCACATCGACGGCATCCCTGATCAAACATTCGGAGGGTTGATACAACAGTTGGCAGATAAAAAGGGGAACAACATCGTACGTTCGTCTTGTTCCTTGCGTCAAAGCTGAAGATTGACACGATTGTGGCTCGTTGTCGCGATCAGCTCGCAATTATTGATTCCTGTCACTCGGGGGGTGTGGCGCGAAGCGACGACTCGGACGGTGCATCGCGCGCTGTCGATCCTGAAGTCTTTTCCCCTTATCCCATGCCAGCAACCCTTGATCAAGACGTCTGGTCCTGGAGACCGGGCACGAACCGTGATGCGGAAATGGTTGTGTACAGGGGTCTCAAGCATGGAGTGATGGAATCGCACGTCCTCTTGGCGGCCTGTCGGGACAACGAGAAGGCGCGCGAGAACGCTGTCGCTGACCGCGCAGGCACCCGGCGTCCCCGCGGGCTTTTCACGCTGCACTTGCTCGAGACATTGCGGGAGGGATATGCGCGGAAGGAACTGTTGCGCCAGCTCACCTACGCGCGTCTCATAGACCGCCTGTCGGGCCCGGGACTAAAGGAGCAGCATCCTGTGTGCGAGGGGTCGCACAAACATCGCCAGTTGTTCAGCCAGAGCGAGCTCAGGGGCGAGGCGACTTCATTCCGCATTCGTCGCGACTCCGACAACGTCTTACACATCTGCGCGGGTCGTATTCACGGAGTGGGGACTGGCACGAGTTTCACCGTGCTGAGACCCGGTGTCCCCGACTACAATGATACCACGGTTCTCATTGCGAACAAGGTCAACGCCCTTAATTGTACGGTGCTCAATACCTCCGACCTCATCGACGTGGACCGTGACAACCTTGATGATTTCAGGGCTGAGGTCGACCTCTGGAACTCACAGCCGATGAAGGTTTGCACTGAGGAGACCCTCCTTTCGACACACAGTCAATTCAAATATGTCAAGGTGACTACCAAAAAAGACTGCGACGTCTCGCTAGATAAGTGCGAAGGTGGTTGGGCCTTGGACCGGTTCGACCCGTTGACGCTCCAGTACGCACAATCACAGATAGTCCTGTCCGGAGTTGGCACCCCGGACGACATCCTCGGGGCCGTGGCGCGTTGGAACTTCCACCTTTATCGTTTCAACGAGCCGACGTCCGACTCCGCTGATGACCTCCGAACCCTCCGACCCGAAGTACAGCTGCGTACCCTCAAGGTTGATTCAGGTAGTAACGCGCTGTATCCATCTCTCATACCGGATGGGGAAGTCTTCTTTGCCCACGCAAAGGAGGAGGAGGCCCAGCCCAACCCTACTTCAACATACGGAGTCCCTGAGGCGGTGAAGACGGCGCGGATCGATGTCCGTGATCTGTCAAAATATTATGGTCTGACATTGCTCAACTCCTCCGACTTTGACCTGTGGCCTTACGTCTTTTACTTTGATCCCTCACAGTGTGCCACGCAGGTGAGGACTCAATCAATACATTATAGGGCATACATGATGATTGAGCTGATCGCGTCGCACTGGACAGTGCTGGTACAGACCACCCAGCAAAGAAGGACATCCTCCGCTACCTAAGAAGAGCAATGATCAGCCTGGCCAGCTCACTATCGGCTACGGTGGTTCCGGGACTGAGCCCTTCGGATTCTCGCTTCCTGAAGGTGCTCGTGAGGATACAGGGTTCCTGAAGATATTCGTCTCGACTTCATATGTCGACATGGGTGGTGTAGAGCAACATGCTTTGGGTACACGAGGGGCATGCATCAAGCCTCGCCCAATCAACGATGGTTGGTATTCTTCGGTGTATGTTCTGACAATCTTCAGGGCTACGTAGTTGATCGCTCTGCGCTGTATCAGTGCCGTAGCATGTCATGATAGGCTCGCGTGTCTTAGCATTCGAATCGGCGGTAGTCACAGATCCTCTCATGACTGTATGTACAGTGCGACACTAGCTTCACCCGCCAACGAGATCATATTTGGTGTCTGCCTAGTGCCAATAATTGATCTACGTCTCTCAGTTGGAAGTATCTAATCAGGAGCAGCTTCTAGTTCAAGTTCAATAGCAGGTTCGAGCAGCAATTGAATGTACAGTATGCAGCACTTACTCAAGGATCGGCGCTTGCCGACATCTACGCCACGCTTGATCTCGTACACCGTCCCTCTCGCTAACCCGGACCGTGACCGTCCTGTATGACGGTCGTTATCGCGGAAAAATACTTAGACTTACGAAGACTTACGACTTACTTATCGCGTTAGACTTGCTGCTTAGTCGACACACAAATTGTACACCTTGGACATACATTGATGCCAGTTTGTACACTCAGACTCTACAACCGTGCTGATTTTGTGCCTTATTACCACTGAATGTGTAAGTTTGCAGCAAGAGACACCCGCTGCTCACCGTAGGGCGCCTAAGTCCGGTCTGGGGGCTGGCCAATTGCCTAATCCGGAATTATTAGCCAATTATGGTAACTTCATCCACACGCATTATTGTTTATTGCACGGCATGGATATCACGGATCATGACCGCCCGGAAGCCCGATTATAAGACGAAGCTGAGCTGCGAAATGTTTCATAAAACCACCCAGTCTCCATTATTGATGAGACATATGGCCCGGAGTGCTACAGTAGGAGAGCCTGCATGGCCATGAGCCCGCAGTTCTCATCGAAAGGAACAGATATTATGACACCAAATAGAAGTGCATGAACCTAATACAGAACTTGTACTAATCACAGAGAAAAAGTCTGGCGCAGCGGTCCTGGCTTCATCCCGATTTGGCAATGACTGCCTCGGGCACGTCGGCCGGGCGCCAATTGTACTAAGTCTAAGTCGCGCGAAAGTAAGACTTGTCGGTAAGTATTTTTCCACGAAAGCGTCACTCATAGTCCTGAGAGGTCGTCGACTCGTCTTCCAAGTTGTTGCATGTCTCTTAGGTCTGGAGTCCTCACGCCATCAGCCAACTCTCGTTTTTCTCCCCGATGGAGACTGTTGCTCCTATGCAGACTAGTGAAGGAACGCGCTCTCTGGACACCAACGACGACCTTACAACTGAAGAAGCCATCTCGCGGTCGTCACCGCTAGGCTCGCCAGCCTCAGTTGCAGTCTGCAACCTCCCTGGATGCGGTAGCCCTGGCGGCGCTCCAGCAACATCTGTCGAAGGGCATGAACCTCGTCCACCTTGTTCTGCCGCATTTACAGTCGACTCCTCTACTCTGGCTAGCACTGGCGACGACCTGTCCGCTCAAGACGAACTTCTACTGGAGGCATTGACGGACGATGCCCCAGTCTCCGAGGACGCTAGCAGTGATCAACCAGAGACTCCCGTCAAGCCCGGCAGACGCAGACACCCGCGCGCCCGCGGCGGTAAGAAGGTCCAGGCAGCGAAGGCACGCAAGATCGCCCGACAAGCTGCGGATGCTGCCGCCGCCGCCGCCAAAGCTGGTACGAACGTCTCGGGCTCTGTCACAGCGGACACAGCGACGGATGCTGGCGAGTCAGAAGTTGAGGAGGTCGATGTACCGCCGGCGACCTCTTTCGACGTACTGGCCATCGTGTCTCAGCTGCCGTCGCCGGTGCTTTTGGAGGATGGACCGTCGACTCTGGAGCTAGAGGAGGGCCGCCTATTGTCGCCATCACTGCAGTCTGAGGAGGCTCGTCCGCCGTCACAGTCGGGGCTTGATGGAGTTGGCTCGCCGCCACCACCTATGCTCGAGGAAGACCGCACGCTACCCACCTCGTCGCCCTTGCTTGCAGAGGACCCTATATCGCCGTCGTCGAATTCTAAGCAAGACCAGCAACCATCGGTGTGTGTCCGCGACACCATCTCGTCTGACTTCAACGACCTCGACGACGGTCAGCAAGCGTACCAGGGAACGCAAGTCTGTCCCAAGCGGAAGCCTAGGCACCCTCTGAGGATGGCTGTGAAGGCAGCTGTGGCCGCCGCGGTCGTCAAGCAGTCTCACTCGCTCAGGGCGTCTCGTATTCTGGAGTGCAAGACTCGTTCGACGGCTAATAAGCTAGAGCCGACTATCGCTGGACCGCTAGACGTCTCGAGCTCTCCGTCTCCGTCTCTGACTATGTCTGGATTGGATGCGTCCCCCTACGGCAATGCTGCTCCGCCTGCGCCTTCTTCTCCCATGCCTCATCCTGAGAGCTGTCTGTCTCAGGGACCCGAACTAGGCTCGGAACATTATGCTCTTCTTCGTACGCTCTTTCCCTGTTCCGAGGCGGTACCGCACGAAGGCCAAGACATTCGCCCCTCTTCACCTCAAGATACACGCTCTGTGTCCTCGGGAACACTTGTTCCGCACGACCTGGACGTCGATAGCGACACCACGAAGCCGGACAGCCTGGCAGATGACCTCCTCGCGACACATCGGGAGCTGAAGAGCCTCCGGGACACCGTGTCTTCCCTGCTGGTGCACATGGACATGAGCCTGCGCCAATACCGTGCGTGTGATGTGCGCGGTCCGGCGAGCCTTGTGGGGACGTGGACGCCGAGGGCGTCGACGCTAGGTTCAGAGGGCAGGCGGGGCGGGCAGCCGCCGGAGCTTGGCTCGCTGATGGGGGGCCTGGAGAAGATTTCCGTGCTCACGGTGCGTTTGGCGGCTGCTGTGCGGTCAGAGCTGGTTTGTGACTCATAGTAGGGCTCGTAGGTGGTGGGCATTGCACGTAGCAGTTCACGGGGACGATCGGTACATAGCTATGCGTTTGACATGGACTATTAGATAGTATTCTTATTCTCTTCTGGATTTGTTCAGCACAGTGTCATGGGTCTACAAGTTTTGTAATAGGTGTACTATGTTCGACGTTGGGTAGATGCAGCTATTCTCACTCATCGACTCGCATCCGACAGTCCCAGTGAAGTCGGACTTGGAGAGACACGATTTGTCACATCCACGTGACATGACGCGTGTCACGTCCCCTGTTTGGAGCGATGATCGGCGCTCAGACTCCCAGCCCTGGCGGCGAGCCACGAGATGACATTGCTGCAATCCAACTGCAAACTGTTCTTTCCTCCCCACCCTCCCGCCACGTTGCGCCATACTTCTACCACTGCACTTCAACGCGAAATTTCCACGTAGGATAACGTGGGGAGAGACGGCATATCCTGTACCTTACCTATTTATATCTCGCCTGGCCGATCTCCAGCCTGTTTCCTCGATTGGAGCTAAGTACCATGACGCGAGCTCGTGACGTATTACCACGACGCGTCGCGGGCGTCGTGGCTTTCGCGCATACATCCACCCCGTCGACATCCTTGATCTGCAACCCTCACCTCCATGCAAAGTCTCAACGTTCAAAGTTCAACCGTCGAGTCGCGTGTTCAAGTCCAAGCCATACCACTTGGAGGTAGCATGCCCCTTTACGGTATGCAATGCGGTGCAGGGCGTAGCCAGGCGAGTCATGCGCGTCGTTGCATAGAACCTGACGATCGAGACCGTGATCGACGAGTCTGTGACGCAGAACCCGGCCCTACTCGCCCGGGAGGAGAGGGGTGCGGGCGCGCAGGAGGCGCAGAAGACGGTGCAGTTTGCGCAGCTAGTGGACCTGAGGAACGCGAGCGCGAGCGGGGTTCTGTTTGAGAAAAAGTGGCAGAACGTTGCTGCTTTGTTGGATTCGAACACGGTGGTGGTTACGGACCGACTTAAGGTGTAAGGTGCGTCGAGTGATATGTCGGTCCCTCCATTGCGTTGCTGAATTACACTGTTATGACTGGCTGGATCAGCTGCCATTCTGACAGTGTGGATACACAACGTCCGGGATCATCTCAACCGTTACAAGAAAGATGTTATCAAGGAGCTAGTAGCGGGTACACAGAAGATCTACTAGAGGTAGGTGAGTGCGACTCGGATTGCATGAGGCGCATTGCGATGCGCGCAGCGACGGACTGACCAGGGCTCGACTTGCAGGAGGTGGGCGGCCAGCGGCGGCGTCCGCGCTGGTCGGTTCTGGACAGTTGGTCCGAGTTGCGCGCTCGTCTTCGAGTGCAAATCGCCACTCTGTGAGCACGTCTGCGATCTCGATCAGAGGGAGGGACTTACCCAATGTGAGCATACGCCGCCACGGCACCGTCTCGCAAGTGATGATCATCCGGAGTCCATGGCTCAAAACAGCTGACAAACTCGGGAAAGTATAGATTTCCTGTCTGCTCGTAAGTACGTCCGCTTTGATTGCCATCGTTTGTGAGCTCAATATCAGCCTTCTACAGCACGCACACGGTGTCATACAGCCGCTCCTCGCGCAGGCCGGGGAGGAGAAAATGCGAACTCGCGAGAAAGCTTTACAGATAAGGTACGTACAACTCCCAGGTGTGGAAAATGATCTTCCGGCCCTACAGCACATTTCTGATACTGTAATTTTCGCTCCGACGGCTCCGAGTATGTTGCCGCTGCTTACTGCCTGCTTGCTCGCACACTCGCTCGCTCGCCCTCGTCGCCTGCTCGACTACTCTCGTCGTCCTTCTCGCACGCTCGCCCTCCGTCACCTCGCCGGCCTGCCTAAGGCTGCCTTCCTTTTCCCTCGTGCTAACCAGCTCGCCCGCCTGCTTGCTCGCCCACTCGGCTTATCGTCTGACCGCTCGTTCACCCTCAGGCTCTCTTCCCCCCTCGCCTCTTGCCCGCTCGCTTTCCTGCCCGGCGCGCGCTCGTTCTTGCCCGCCTGTGCTCCCCCTCTAGCCAGCTCTCCCACATGCCTGCTCGTGCTCATCTTCTTGCCCGCTTGCCATTCTCGTCCGTCCACCCATCTTCTAGCTAGCCAACCCGCTTGCTCAGCCACTCGCCTGGCCCATGCAGGACGAGCTGCACAACCTGCACAACCCGCGCCGAACCGCGCCGAACCTGTACACAGGCAGGTACAGGTCCGGGTCGTGCATCTCATTCGTGCTCGGCGCTATCTAGGTCCTACTACAGTTGCCTGGCAGCTTGCTAACGCGTTGACGGTTGGGCCTGTCCAATGTGTACACAGCATTATAAAATACATATACCAATGATCTATTATAACGAAACTGAAGTGAAGCAAGAGACGCGAGCTAGTAGTGATGCGAGCGAGAACACCTGTCGGATTGGGCAGGGAAAGTGCCCGGAAATCAGTCGGAAATCTTGTTTTACCTGCACCTTTTCGCCTGATATCCTCCGAGGAAACATGACGGTAAAGCGCAGGAAATCTTGCCTTTCCGGAACATATCCTGTCAGAAAATTTGGCTTGACGCGCAGTGTACACATATTGGCCCAGCAGCTTTCTCGCAACTCCGATATAAGCCTTGATATTCTACACCTCCTATATTGCAAGATCATCGTCTCAATTGCGGCGGATTGCGACCGGAGCTAAAGCCTCGCAGAACATACTACTGGTGCATGCTATTTCCTGAGGTCGTCAATTCATGAATTATCGGTGAGTGATGAGACCTCTCGCTGTTGATACAGGCGGATGACTGTTTGACATCAGCGGCGACATCCAACAGCGTCAGACAGGAGATACGAACACGATCTGCTTGTTTATTCACTATAAGGCCGAGAAAGCACGCCAGTTTAATGAATGGAAGGATGATTCGGTGCGGTACTTGGACGCGTTTGTCAATGAAGACCTCGAGGCGCTTGGCTTTCCCCCTTGTCACACGTGTGGATGTACATGGCGCTCCGCAGTTATGAGGTGTATGTGGAACGCCAAAGAACACGGTGTGAGTTTTGCGGCTTCGGTTCGTCCTTGATAATGGTTGGAACTTGACGGCTTACCGTTTCTTTAGATCTTGGAGGAGGAAATGTCATCGGCGTTCCAGGCCGTACGCTTCACCCCGGCGTCGTTGGCGGACCGTTCCATGTGAGTGAGTTCTAATACTGTACATAGGGGGCGACGTTCAAGCGCATATTTAACAGGTCGCTAATAAGCCTGAGTATCAAGTGAGCACATCTGCCTAACTGCTTGATCTGTCCATAACATAATAACTTAGTGGTGGACGCCTTCACATCCCTGCTCCAGGCATGAAGGCTCCGGCCGACACCCTCCCTTCATCAGCACAATTCCACAATCAGTCAGCGTACTTTCCTGAAAGCGGCAAGGCTCCAAGAGCCCCGAGGTCGATCGCTCTCGCAAGAGCAGCTGCATCTCCAATTTCCCGCCCAACTCGACAAGGTGAGCTAGCCTCCAAGACACGTTTCTATACATAGTTACTCAATTCTTGACTCGCACACATTTCGGGCTTTGCATCGCTATTAGACACGTATGGCTCAACAATGCCTCGGAAGTTCACGAACAAGTACCCAGTGTCTGCTGCATCCCGTAACAACGCCAGAACTCCGTCTGTCTCGTTTAGTCCATGCTCAACCCCCGAGCCCACCCCACCCAATTCGACGCTCGCCTCGGCAATGCCCTCGTCACACGGAGGCGGCACTCCGACACAACCGGCGAAGAGGACGGTTCCACCCGCATATACCCAGCAATCGCAAGTTGTGAGTGCGCGGCGACCATCAGAATCATCAAGCACTGCAGCACACGCAAAGTCGGACATTCAGTCTCAGGGAGCGACTCTAGCACAGATGGACGTGGACGTACCACAATCTGTACCGCCTTCCTCCGTACGGCGTCCGGCTTACGTGGTCCCCATTTCTCCGGCAACAATGCCTGCCAAGCAGACGCATACATCCACCAAAATTAAAGTCGAGGAGAAGGATCATGGTTCCGCTCTCCATCAGCCACCCACCGTCTCTACTCAGCCAACTCATCCGACTTCTACTAGCCACGCAATTACGACCCCGCCATCCTTGTCTGCGCATGTCGCGAAGACAAGGTCACAGTCTGCTAACACCGCATCCGACCCGACACCGGATGCGAGTGCGATGGCAGGCCTGACGCGGTCGCTCGAAGATGTCGGACGAGAGATCACCACTCTGGCCGCACGCGAGAAGGTGGTGGTGCAGCGACTAGCACACTATGGCGTGCGCCCCCCTCCCGATCCCTCGGTGGTATCTTTCCGGGAGGTCGTCGAGGAGCGCAAGGCGACGCAGGACGAGATCTCCGGTAGGTGTCTCTCAGACCACACCAATGGCGTCGCTAACACAAAGCACGGAAGCACTTCGCGCTCAGCTGGAAGCAGAGGCAGAAGCACGCCGCGCCGCGGAGTCCGCACTTCAGGCGGAGCGGCGGCGGCGCGAGCTCGCGGAGGGCGCGCTCATGGACGTGCGCCGCGAATGCACCGCCCCGTTCGTCGTCCCCGCGCTTATGGACGCGTTCCTCGACATGTCACGCTTGACGGGAGAGCTATTCGCCAGCAGCGTGGAATATCGAACGGGTCGAGGCCGATAGTGGACATAAAAGTGTGGTATATATTGGTATGTATTTGCGTGGTTCATACGCTACGATTTCGGACTTTGTTTCAATGTACACGATCGAGCCAATGGTGGATGTCAACTGGAGCCCTCACAAATCCCACACGTTTCTGAAGACACGATAGGTTGCGCGCACAAGTACAATGACAACAATGAACACAAAACTAGGCTGTGGCGAAGTGCGATACCAGGGATCCTCTAGATTGTATACAACTCTGTGGCTGGCCTGCGCAACCGTCGCAATGCCCATATATACTCGCTGAACCTCTTAACCTCGAGCCTAGCCCTCTTCCGGGGCGTTTTCACTGAAACCACATGTCCATCGAACATTCAGCTTTCCGAACTGGACGACTCAGGTAACTGGTCACCGTCACCATCCTCCTCTCAGTCCTCCATCGTAGGTCGTGCCCGTCCCGCCCTCCCTGTCCTGGACCCAAAGTTGTGCCCCGCGCTGTGGTTCTGGCTGGAGTCACTTCTAAGGACTCTGAAACTCTGCGTGAACCGCGGGCGGGTCGTGCTACCTTCTGAGGAACGACTTCGTAATCACGCCGGTCAGGCCGCCAAGGTCTGCTCGTGGAAGCCCAGCCGCGGGGAGATGACCTCTTCGTAGCAGAGCGTCCCTTCACAAGAGACAGAGTTTGCGCCCCTCTGGCCCCGGGCCTTTGCGCCCCCAACAAGTAGCACTCGTCCATCCGTCCTGCGCTTCCCCGCACTTCCAGTTGAGTCCACGCTAGCCACAGGTGCTGGCCTCCGCCCGCCGACCCGCAAAGCTCGCAAGGCCACCTCCACATCGGTGGCGAGGGCAGCGACGGTAGCAGCGACGATTGCCATCGTGCGCGCCTTGGCGGCCTGGATTTTTGCCTCCACGGGCACGCGGGTGCCTGATCCTCTTGCCCTTGGGTGTTGAGTCGATGGAAGCCGCCGGCACTGAGTCGGACTGTTGTCCTTGCGGTTGCTGTTTTTGTGGGTTTGCGGCAATGTCTACCTGCATCAAGGACGATGTATCCGGGAGGCAGTTTGTGCAATTTTGAGGCGTCGTCAGCGCACCATCGTCAACTTCAAGCTTGACCAGCACAGACCCTGAATTCTCCGGGGAAAGAATGTCACCACGGCCAGAATGAGAAGAGACGCGGACGTTTGTTGGCGCTGAGGCTGGTGGTCGAACTTGCTGCACCGGGGACCGCTTCCTCTTGAAGTTTACCGTCGGCAACTCGAGGGTTGTATGGATTGAAGCTAAAGCCTGAGGATGTAAGGCAGGGTGAGAGCCCCGAGCGTCCACTTTCGCATCTGTTGACGCGCTGATCTGCGCGGTACGCTCGGCGCTGTTCACTTGGAGAGGGTCGGAGAGTACAGTACGGGAGCAGAGGGTCTCGAGGTCGCAGTCGTCGAACCGGGGGCCGCCGCGGTACGTCCAGGGGGTGAACTCAGATTCGCGCCATTCGAGTCGGTGAGCGGGGTGCCTTTCGTGCCGGTATCGCTACGGATTTGTGCGGGGTCTCTGTGGCACGGCAGCTGGCGGATGGTCTGCCAAAGACAGCGCTGGACTGTTCAGTCTTCCCAGTCAGCCCCTCCAGGCCGATCAGTTCCTTGTTCTCCGAGCCCCAGGTCCGAAGGGTGCTGCCCCAGTGGTGCCGATGCCGACCGCTTCCGGAGACCAATTAGCGACGTCGGAGATCCTGCCGTAGTGACCCCAGCCGTGACCTCGCCAAGAGACTCGGGTGCGAAGACTACGTCTTTGCGTGCGAGACCACTGGAAGAGGACCAATCTTTCTCCTGCGTCGTCAGAGCCAGAGCCAGAGGTGGGTCATGAATCAAGCAGCTGATTGTAGGTGCCCGTGTGTCCACGCTGTTGCGGAGAGGTGACCTGCCAGATAGTGATTCTTGCGTCACTCCGTCTCTAGCTAGATCGAGAGGACGAGAAAATACGAAGAGTGGCCATAGGTTGTTGAAGGACGCTGTAGGAGGGTCGCAGACTCGAACTTCAGGTGACCGAGGCTCGGGCTTGCTGCCCGAGGCTTGTAGGACAATTTCCTCGAGTACTTGGTGAGTGGAGGCACAAGCAGGCTGGAATGTGAGCGCCGGTGAGAAGCCGGGCCTTGCGACAGAAGGCATCCGCTCAGCGGGGTCACGCAGCTGGAGGGCTGAACGGCGATCCAGACGCAGGGCAGGCGACGCCTCGAGTCTCGTAATGCGGCTGATAGCGAGAATCCATGTCAGTGTCGCCTCCATTTTTAATTGCATGTGAGCACGTACAGATCATTTACTGCGATGTCCAGGTTGAGACATCGTCAGTGCTGGTCGCGAGCAGCATGCGACTCCTCTGACCTGGAGTGATCAGAGTTCAATATGCTATTTGAGTCGACAGATCGCAGTTCAACGTACCGGGAGTACGTCTAGAGGACCTCCGCTCCGGGACCATACGGAGCACACTTCAGCTGCACGAGGTACAAGGAAGGTCGCGTCAGGCATAGCCATGTTCAGTTGCTTCAGGTCATTCAGCACGAAGAGGTCGAGGGCGTCGCAATTCGCGGCGTCGACTCGCGCGAGGAAGTTGGCTTTGGAGCCGCCGTAGAAAATTCGCACTCCTAGTTCCTGTTCCAACATTGCGGCGGTCTCGGGATATGATGGGAAAGTAGCGACAGCTGACTATCAATGGCAGAGTATGCTCCAATCTCCTGAGAGAGAAGATGGAGGGAGGCTACTCGCAACTCGGTGACTCGGAGGTGGTCGCCAGACGCGATCACGTGAGCCGGTGTGCGCGCGCTCGGCGCTGGCAGCAGCCAGCTGGCTCGTACTTCGTACTGTCGTCTCCCTACATCCCGGACGGTGGGATAATGCGCTGTATGCTTTTCAGCACCAAGCTAGCATGAATCACTACACCTTGGACATCAGTTACTGCGGAGAGAAGGCGAGACAGGCTGCCTTGCACAAGTCCGCGAACAGCGTTGAACGTTTTGTCGACCGCGATCTCCAGAGCCTTGGAGTCCCTCACAAGGTTGGCGTGGTAAGCTTTTGGCGAGGAAGAATACCGGTAGCGAGATGCACATGGGATACCGTGGATCGTAGTCATGACGATGTATTGGTATGTCCCGTTTCTCCAAACGATGTTCAAGTTGCCAGGGCCTTCACTAAATTATGTGTAGCGGCGAGCCGTCGAACCGTTTCTGCCAAACATATGGCGTACATGGGAAGAGCACGGGGAAACAGATCGCAGGCTGCGCGAACTAGACATGTGAGTGCAGCCAGCGTATCGGCCGTGAGCACGTCCTCAGGCGAATCATGCAGCTCGGAGGCTACCGCTCATATACAGTGTGTTCCTTTGCTTGATTTTGCTACAATTCCTGATATGCAGCGTAGGGAAGGGGGTGGACCTAATTCTAGGGTTCCTGAAGCTGCCGTGAGCCCTCTCGCGCGTGCGCCGTCCCCTCCTCCGCGTCGCCGGTCCTCTAAGCGGCCCCGTTCGCCTGACTGCCGACCCGCCGACCCTCAGCAGAAGCGGTCTCGCCCGCAAGCATCTGTCCCCGTGAGAGGATCTGTGCCTGTGACTGAAAATGATCCTCCGATTGCTGGGCCGTCAAGGATCGTCGCGCAGGGACACATGGATGATGATGATCGCCGAAGTAACGGAGCATTCGATCCTCGAGTGCGTTTCATGGCTCCGTAGTCGCCTTCATGCCATCTGACCTGGCGTGCGTCGCTCGCGCTGTGACAGGCTCCCGATGCCGTCCTATCTGCGATTGTAAACACCGCTCTCATCACCATCAAGGAGGAACCCATGGACAATGATGCTCAAGCTCTCCTGAACGCAGACTCTACAAACCCGGAGGAGAACGACCAGCAGGCCCAGGATCCGGCGGCATCTCAGACACACGTGGAAAGCAGTACGGCTGGCAACGGCGTCGGCGCGAAGCCCGGGCTGGTGGACACGCTCAGGAGTGCCCTCACCGCGGCGGTCACCGTGCAGGCGCGGGAGGCGCAACTTGAGGCAGACGTCGCATTGTACAGAAACCAAGCGGAGCGGTTGGCGACCCGCGAACGTGAGTTCCGTGAGAAGGAGAGCGCGTTCAGCGAGCGGGAGAACGGTGGGGCCCTGTCTCGATTGCCTTCGCGAACGAGTGCTGTTTTGCTGATCTACGTCGCTGAGCAGGCTTCCAGGTGCAGGCGGCGCGGAAGGACGCGGAGCTGGCGGAAGCGCGGTATCAATGGGCGCAGGAGCGTATCCGGGTACTCGAGACGAACACAGAGAAGGAACGGGTCGCGCGTGAGATGCGCGAGGTGCAGGCACTGCTCGAGCAGGAGAAGATGAAGCGAGCGCAGGGCGAGGATGCAGGGCGGGCTGCACAGGAAACCATTGCTTGTGAGTGGGTATGCGACAGTGGAGCTGAGTGCCAGCTGACGGGTACCTGGACAAGCCCTGCGAGCAGAACGAGATCGGCTTCAGACAGAGTTGCAGACGGCTCGCGATGCTGTTGCCTGTACGCGCTATCCGTCTTTCAACGCTCTATCGCGGACTCACTCGCCCCTTTCATAGCGGTGCAGGCACAATGGCATTCGGCGCATGAGCGAGAGCTCAAGGCCGAAATCGACAAGCGAGAGCGTGCAGAGCGAGTGGCGCTGGGTGAGTACCAATAATCATATTTGACTGCACCCCGCATATGCTAATTGCACAACGCATTCTGACAGAGCTCGGCAAGAAGCTAGTAAGGCTGCAAGTGGACATGCGGAGTCAGAACACTGGTGCGGCACTCGCGTCCGCGTATCCTCTATTCGTCCACTGACGATACACCCGATAGCCCTCCGTGAGCAGGTTGAGACGCTGACGAAGGAACTGGAGGGCGAGCGCGCTGAGTGCTCAGCTAGGCGAGAACAGCTGGTGATGGAGGTTTCATGTGGGTATCAGTCGTCACTGCGTATCTTACGGCAGACTATACTAACATAATATCCACTGGCATAAGCGTTGCGAGTGCAGTTGAAAGCTGCCAATGAGGATAAGACTATGGGTGCGCACTGTGCTGTCATATGCTGCGGAGCTGTATCAACGAGTCGCGTCCCCTTCCACATAGCTCCGAGAGATTTCCGCGGAGGTGAAAACACCCCAGGCAAAGACGCTTGGTGAGTAGCAATCACTTCTCGTAAGTACGATGCTCGGAGGCTTACCGACCTTTCGAACTGAAGGTCTCGAGACGCAGCTGCGCGTCGAGCGGACTGCACCCGGGGAAGCAGAAGGATGGTGTATCGACGCGATGACCGCCGAGGCTGAGGCTGAGCGCTGAGCGCGTGCGTCGTGAGCGAGTTGGGCGCTGTCGGGTTGGACCAGTGTCCCGGTGACGGTTGAGGTACATGCCAGTGCTGCTATTGCCGTGACAATATACACGTTGTGTTGTTTTGGGCCTGAGGTTGCGACACTTGCACTCGTGAAATTGCAGATACCCGCTGGGATGTCAATGGTGGTCACCCACTGCACGTCCAGGTTGTACTTCAGTGGTGATTACTGAGTTTGGTTGCCTCATCATCGGCATAACCTTCTAGCGGCTTAGCCAAGGGCTCCAGAGTTCGAGCGACCAAGCCTTACGCGCATGGATTTGCACAAGATGTGCATTGCAATAGTATCATGGGCGTAGTACAAGACAGAGAGAACCTAGTAGAGTCAGATGAGTGGGCAACGCGTAGCCATCTGAATCTGAGGTACAAGTGCCAGTATAAAGGGGGAGTGTCTATCTGTGGGTCACCTTCCTATCGCCTACGGCCACGATGCGGGTCATTCAAGACCTCCCAATACGATTTCTGAAATCATGAATAGAGACTGTCCCTATACGCGGACACGACGACTTCTCTCGGGGTATCTTGGACGCATGGCGCCTGTCGTGATGGAGCTGCGAGCCCGTGCGAGGAGCCCGGGGCGAGGTTTGGGTGAGGTCTCGCAGTCTCGCGCCCACAATACAGTGTCTTGCTCTGCGCCGTTGAACGTAGATTCGGCTATAGCTAAGTGAGACGGGCAATCGGTGCTTCGGATAAGCTGACGACTCACGCCTTGTCAGATATAAATATCTTTATAAGAAACGCGGAGTAGACCACGGTCGGCCCACGGGCTGAGGAGGGTGTTGAACGAAGCAGAGAGATTGTTGATGATGCCATCCTTCTCCACCCGGTCACAACCCTTTGGGGGGTTGAGAGTCAATTGCAACTCGACTTCAAGTAGTGCCTCAAAACAGGGGCGACGCATGACGTCGTGCAGACCCTTCAACTTCAAGTTTGCCCTAGGCCTGTCTAGAGATCTGTAGAGGCCCGGCGTCCCGGCGGCGATTAAACTGATCGTGATCTGCTTCAGCTGATGGGACTGCGCAGTGGAGAGCGTGGGGTGTAATGCTTCTGCGATTGTAGGCAGGAAGCCATATGACTGGTACTTCTCGTCGCGGAAACCTATCTTGAAGTGCAAGAATTCCAATGCAGTGTTGTGCTCTAGATTATTCGTTACTACGACATGCATGATCGTCAGATGCGTGATGCAACGCAGAGGAAATATGTGACAGACCAAGGCTTGATATACAGACACGAGTGAGGAATTGTCCAGCTGCTCTGAGGAGTCCGTCTATGTCAACGTTGTTCTTAACCAGTGAGGACTCTTCGCAATCCAGCTCGTGACGCTTGAGGCTATTGTCCGGTCTGCTGAAGGGTTTACCGCAGTACTTGCTCTGGACAGGGCCACCAGTATGCTTAAAGTGGACCTTTGAGATGTGCCGCGCCAATTGGTAGGCGGATAGGGTCAGGCCACACTTGACTATGCCATCATTCCAGTGGCACCGAAAGAGATCTCGGCCGTCAGACTGACGCAGGGCCACACGATGATGCTTCTGGAGATGATGCATGACGACAAAACTGCTAGTGTCGTCGAGGGAAGTCCTGCAGTTCATGTACCGGCAAAAAGTTGAAAGCGGGCTAGAATCACGATCGTCATTTCTTACACTACAGTAGCATACACGAGTTGAAGGAAAAGACATACTGAGAGCCTGAGGATCTTCGAGCGCTAGGGTCAGGGAGAGACTCGAAGTGACGTAGGCTTGCACAGATGCCTGAGCGTTCGAGCCAGTCAATGATGACATCGAATGTAGACTTCGAGCGATGGTCGTCAAAATCGATGCCGAGCCGTTGAAGCTGAACTCGAGTGTGTGACCTGGACTGAAATCGTCGAACATCCGCGTCGCTCGCAGATTTCAGCAGAACGAATTCGCCGCCACGCAATGTGATGTCTTCGAGGTTGGGGGAAGCGGAGATAAGCCGCTGTAGCTCGGAGATGCTGTGAAATTGGAACCTGGACAAATGCAGCGTCTTCAAGGCCTTGAACCTGGACAAAGTACTGAAGAACGATGTCGGCATGGCAGCATGTACTAAGCCCCCATCGATCCGCAGGCTCTGCATGCCAGGCATTGCAGCGCAGAAAACGGGCGGTAGTGCATGGAGGAAGCGGTCACGGCCATATGGGTGCCCCGCCAAGGGGCCGGCGGGAAAGTAGCCGTCGGAGATGACGAGACAACGCGTGGCCGCGAGCCATCCTTTGACGCGTGCAGATGTGCGTAACTGCTCCGTCAACATAGTGAAGCTCTTTCGGCTGCGAAGTTCGACAGTGGAATAAAGGAGTTTGGTGGCGAGTTTGTGCCATGTCCAGCAGACCAACGCAGTGGTAGGCAGCGCGAGATATGTCGTCCAAGCGATAATTTCACTGACAGTTTCGACTGGGATGCGACGAGCGAGTGCGAGTGGCAGGGCGCTAGTCAACAGGAGGTGACCACTCGCATGTAGAGTCTGGGGGACCTAGTATGCGCACGCGTCAGACGGTGTCAGGCAATATGTACATCAGACACGCACCTGCGAGGAATCTTCCATCACCGTCAGTCGGGATAGACTATGTGAAGGCGGTTAGACGAAACAGTATGAGGAACGAACAGGACAAGGACGACGGGGAGCGGAGGAACAGGACGATGTCAGGATAGAGGAGGACTGAGGCTAGATAAGGACGGGAAGAAGATAAGGACGGGAAGAAGATAAGGATGGGAGGAAGGTCCCGCACGAGGCAGACGCATGTCAAGAGACAGGTTCATTAGTGCAATAATGCACAGCCAGCCTGGATCTAGCCGCATGCTCACCACCAGCTGCAGCGTCGGACAAGCTCAAGCTATTCACTGCAAACAGGTATGGGCCCTGTCTATGTCATCGGCCACACGCCGGAACTACTCACCTACACGTTTCCAAGTTCAAGTTTGCGCCCATCTCTCCAACGGCAAGAGAGAGAGCCTGGAATCCTTCACCCGTCCTCCAAAGCTTCACTCGCCGTCAATACCGTGACGGGTAAAGTCATACAGTTAGTGTACATGCGTATCACGAGTAACCGAATACCTGTGCGACGTAGTTTCTGTCAAGCCTCTCCGCAACCTACCCTCGAGCTAGTCTCCCGGGCCCTAAACACGACCTTGAGTGGGGAGGGCGGTCGTGTATGGCCCTCGAGCTCTTTCCGCCGAAGGCCAAAATATGAATTATGAGCACTGGTGTCGTTGCGATGGGCGACTCCCCACTAGTGGCGACGCACCTTGGGCGACCTCTGTTAACTCTGCACGACGCCCAGTCCCAGCGCGAGATATGTGTCTACGTCAAGGCGCGCCGAACGACACGGCATGACGGCGAGCAGGAACACGCGTCGGTGTGCAGAGCACGAAATACCACGTGAGGAGGCGGCTTGTTCCGAACCTAAGTAAGGCAGTCAGAAATTTGAAAGTCGAAGTCCGAATCCTCCTCCTCCTCCTCGTCGCGCAGTCCGATGTGTTTTCTCGATGATGACAGGGCATCTTGGCCACACCGCCCGTAAGTTAACTTATCTCTGCACCAGGCTCTTCGACCTGGTGGCCGGATTTCGACGTTTTGGACCATTCTCTTTTCTTTCGCTGCGGCAGGGGATGAGACCTTGCGATCTGGTGGCTCTCCGCGCCGGTTTGGACACTTTGTGCATTACATGCAAGATGAACCTTACGGGCTTTTCTTTCACGGCAGCAGAGGATGAGCGAAGCCTGTGGTCCAAGTAACAGATGTCACGCTCTCGTCGTCCCATTAATTGTCGACAAGAGAGCCGTCCGAGTCGGTTGCAGTTGCGCACGTCCATCATGTAGCCGACGGAGTCAGGACTTGTGAGTTTCTGCACCATCGAAGCTGCCGGCGGCAGATTGACAGCAGCGTTCCGTCTTCACAGGAAATTGAAGTATCGCACGCTCGTGACGATCGTCCTGCTCACGTTCACTCCCACCGAAGATCGGGATCCTTCACAGTGTGACAGATCCCTCTCGGTGTCACCAATCCCTCCAAGTAAGTCCTCCAGAACGCGAACATGGTCGCAATACGCGCCTCCCTGCTGCATCCGACGGATAGCGTGCGCAACCGTACGGATCGCGCAACGGTGTGTACAGCGGCACGCTTGGGCAGCACAGTGAGGCCTGGGGAGGCGCTCCCCTGGAGTACTACAGAGGATCGACTCCCTGCTACGAGCACTGGTTTTTGATTCTGCCAGTGCTCCGCCGGGGTCGATGGCTGTCGTTGCAACTCGGTGACGTACGCGCCGCTTCCCAGCGGGATGTCACGGTCAGCGTCGACCGGCTTGGGGCGGGTCACAAACGACGAGTCAAGTTCTCGGCGCTGCTTCGCAGCGGCAGGGAATGAACGAAGCGGATGACAGGTTCGAGTTCTCGTTGCGTTCTGCGGGCGGCGGTTCTGTGCGGTCTCGACGTCACCGATTGTGGTGCATATGGCTCTCAAACTGTTCAAAACCTCTCGCGCCATCGCTCTGGGTCCTGGCTTCGGTCTCTCGCAGACCGAGAGTGGTGCTCTGCATCCACAGAAGCCCATCTGTCACTCCGAGCTGGCCGCACCGCCGGGATTCTCCATCATTACAACGTCCACGCACACGTTCCACCACAACCCCCGGCGTCATCCTCCCTTCCGGTAGGTCTCTGGGAACGCGGACATGTTCGCGGTGCGTGGTTCAAATGCAGATGCTACATGGCAGAGTGGTCAGTGAAACGGTGTACCTACTGCGGCGCCTGGGCAAAGAGTGATGCCTGGAGAGTTGTTCCCCTCGGTGACGCGCGCCGGGGGATCGACTCTCCGCCGATCGAAGCACCCGGTCAATTTTTGCGTTGCTTGCGTCGACGCCGAGGATGGCGATTCCACGACTTGTGCGTTTCCCCGTAGGCTGCGGCTGTGACGTTGCATGGATCCTTTTTTCTGTGATCGGGGTGTGCGCGTTGACGACAGAATGTGATGATGGCCAGTGCGCCGGGTGCGGGCACGTCGCTGGCCCTGTTACAGACCGTGTCCGGAGTTGAAGTGCTGCCACGCTCGATTTGGTCCGTAGTCGATTTCTGATCACGACGTATGTGGTGGTGCGCATGGGCTGGATTTACAAGCTGGCCTTCTGTCTTGACAGTTTGACAACTTGAGCACGTCCATGCCCACTAATCACGTGTTGCTAGGTTCGACTCGGACACGCGCAGTGCGCACTGCGGTCAACCTCCCGCGTGTGCGGCTCACGGCCTGTCACTCCCCCCTTCTTGACAGCGTGTGGCGATGGCGGTAACTCAAAGCTCGAATCTTGATAGGCGTCAGGCTTTCGTTGCGCCGCGCGACGCCCGAAGCGCCCTCATCGAGGCTTGCTCTGTGGTACCCTGGCGTCGTATCCCGCCGCCGCGCGTGATGATTGTGGTCGCCCCGAACACCAGTTCTCCTAGCCATTCCTGGTAATGCGAACACCTTCGCGGTGCGTGGACTTCCTCCCGTCGACTGCTTAACGAAGCGGTCGTAGTCTCCGAACGTGATCGCGGCATGCCCGGGCAACATGGTGCCTGGGGAGTCGCGCCTTCGAAGCGCACCGGGGGATCGATTCTCCGCCACGAGCAGGCAATTTTCCTTTTTGCTGGCTGGGACGAACGTCGAATCTGACGTTGGTTGAGGCGCAGAGGATCGTGTCAGGCCTGCATGTGGTTCTTCTCTGGGATGACGGCGGTTGGGCTCGGACGCCGATTCGCATTCTGAGGCTCCGTCGGCGTACGCGTGAGGCATCCTGGTTGTCGGTCCCGCGTCACCCTCCGACTCGTCACCGAAGAAGCGAACATGGTTGTGATGCGCGGTGTTATTCCGGCAGATTCAATCACGTCTGCAAGTGTCTCTTCACGGCCCGTTCCATTCCAAGGCATCTGGGGCTCCTCTTGCGTCACAAAGCCTCGACCTGTCTGTCGCCCGAGTGGACAAACTCTGCGTCCCCTATAGACTACCGCACCCCCTCTCTGTCTGCATCAGCCCCAGAAATCGTGAATATGTCCGCGGCGCGCATCTGCCTGCGAAAACGGCAGATAGTCAAACGGTCTGTTGTCAGCGGCGTGTACGATGGCGCGTTGGGCAGCGAGTGCAGCCTGGGGACACTCTCCCGGAGCGCTACGGGATCGACTCCCCGCCATTGAGCGGACGATTTTTGCCAGGCAGATCTACAGCACGGCGTCTCGATCGTCACTGGCACGGACCGTCTTGTGTGTCTCCCTGTGGCTTGTCATCGGCTTTGACGGATCTTATGGTTGATTTGCTCTGACGGACTCGGACGCCGAGGTGCGTATCGATGTGGGGGAGGCGGCGGAGTTGCGCGGACACGTCGTGAACTCCGCGGCAGGTCGCTTCCGTAGCTCGTGCTCCATTGGCTCCGCGCATATGCGCGTGAGCTGTCACGACGGCCTTGCGAACATGTCTGAGGACTCTGACCGTCATGACATGAGTCGGCAGCTCAAAGGCCTGCGGACACCGGGCGTGTGTCCCCAAGTTGAATCCACTCTCCCGTTCTTCGAGACCCGCTCTGCCCCCTTCCTCTCCACAGCGAGCTGTCGCACACTTATTGAAGCCTCCCCGTCAGGCCCAGCTGTCTGAGACGACGACGGCGCTCACTGGCATGCATACTCCCGGCCGGCTGCATCTGCCCCTCTTTGAACCGTGTTTGTGTGTCCGCCAGCAGCTGGCGGACGCGCAGACTCAGTTCAAAAGGGGGAGTCTAGCGCTGCCGGCCGAGGTGATCGCAGAGCGGGATCGGCTCCAAGTCGCGCAGGAGGCAGCGGCGCTTTGGACGGACGTTGTGCAGGAGAGGATGGGAGGGGATGGATGGCGGGCTTGGCGTGGCGCGATTGCTTGTGAGTTGATGCACAAAAGCAGTTTGGGGTTCTGTCTGACTTCGTCCAGCGCTGCGGACGGGATTGGAAAGACTGCGACAGGAAGTCCGCGCAGCGGAAGCGGCCGCTGTTGGTAAATCTGTTGACATGGTTCGCTGGAACGGGTCTTCACGCAGCCCACTAGTGACCGAGGAGGAACTACGCCGGTTGGAGTTCAACATGAAAGCTGAGCTCGCGGAGCGGAACACCTAGACTGAGTACGTCCAATCATAACAGCTCTTGTGTATGCTGACCACGAGCAACGAACAGTCATGAGCGAGACGTTCGCCCGGGCACAGTGGAATCTGATGGACGACAATCTTGGTAAGCTACCCTGTGCGATGCGGTGTTTCTCAGCGATGTGCTGACAACATACGGGTGTTTAGCCCTCCGCCAGCAGCTGGAGGCGCTCACACGCAGCTGGATGATGAGCGCGCTACTTGCAGGTGCAAGGCGGAGGAGCTATGCCCCACGTTATTTTCTAGGAGAGGCCTTCGGTGCGTCATTCCTTCATAACGTTTGCGGGTATGATGACCTATCACTATGGTGCCCTGTATGCAGCTGTGAGTCAAGGGGCGTCCTCGCGCGGCGGGAGGGTGTTAGCGCGACGATTGCTGGCCTATAACGTTGGTATGGACGCTTTCAGCTAGTGAGCCTGGGCCGTCGGTGTGTACAGTAAACCGGATTGAGATACGTTGTAGTGCACGATGCGGCCACACACAGACTATACTCCGAGCCATACGTCGTTCTGTATTGATCCCTTCAAGCGCTGATCCGCCCTCAGAACGTGACTGTGCGCAGTGCGGGCACACGTCCACTGACGGAAACGAAAAGTCCTTGGAGTCGCCCATTAACTCGCCTTTGATCATTTTTGTCGGGTGTCTGGTAAAGATCTGATCTCAGCGCCTGACTTTTGACTCCGCGATGTCGGTTCGCGATCTCCGAGATCTTAAATCGGATGTCATTATGCTTCCGCCCCTTTCGCGAGCTGCCAGCACCGCTCCTCTCCGTGTGTTTCTGAGTCGTTTACAGTAAGCTGCGCTCGGTCTGTGATTCTGGGTATATCGATTGGGCATCGTAAAATATGACTGCGGCGCCCGCAATTCCTTGGAGGACGAATCGATGACGCGATTGAAGGCAGGACGGCTGTGACCTGTCACCAAGTTCGCAGGTGAGTCGTAGTGATACGTAGTCGTCTGCCTGCAGAGGGTCACCAACATGGTGCGAGGGCGTCGTCTAGCACGTCAGCAGCTTTAGCTCAAGATATGTCACGTCGAAGGCGAGCGAGTCTTCTCGGGTACCGGTTCGCAGTGGCACGGAACTGAACGATGCCCGCCGCCCGGCGGGTGTCGTGCGGGGTGTCTCTCGCTTCGTTACGAATTGTCTCCGGGATCGATATCAAGTGGTGACGCGGTGTCCGAATCCGGAGTCCACACGTACTTACTCTACCCTCGATTACGGCGTATGTGACGGTGCTAATAGCGTCCAATTTAGGTTGGCGGCTTCCCAAGGAAGGTCCAGGAGCGTCCGAGTCGTCGACCGCTAATCACGTGTCGCGAGATTCAATACGGACACGCACGCTGCGGTCAACCTCTTGTGCGTGCAGCTTCCAGCTTGGACGTCGCCCTCTCCCCTTCGTGTACGGCATGTAGCGACGGCAGCAACGGAGCTCCAGCGCCGACAGGTGTCAGGATCTCATTGCATCGCGCGGTGCCCATTGCAGCGACGTCGCAGTCGTCTGACTGCCGGGTGCGCCGCGTTGTAAACACGTCAGCAGCTCTGGCTCAAAATACGTCCCGAAAGCGAGCGAGTCCTCTCAGATGCCTTTCCGCGGCAGATGCCCGGGGGATGACAGGCTGTCGTTGCGTCGCCACAGGTGACAGACGGCTGTTCCGGGAAGCGTCGACGTCAATTACGCTTCACCAAGCCGTTCAAGGCCTCTGGACCTGTCGATTCGGCTTCCGCCGTCTCTGTGTCACTGGCAGAAATCGTGTTCCAGCCCAGCTGTCCCTCCGAGTCGTCCGCGTCCCGTTGGGCTCCTCTCCTCGTCCTTGCACGCTCGGCGACATCTTCCTGGGGATACCGATATATTCATGGTACGTGTTCTGCTGGATCATGCGACGTAGCGTAGTGGTCAGCGAAGGGCGGCTCCTGGGCACCGAGTGAGGCCTGGAGAGTCGGTCTTCTGAAGTGCGCCAGGGGATCGATTCTCCGCTGCCCCATGACCAGACCTCACTTTTCTTTTCTGCTTGCGTCTCCGCCCAGAACGGTGATTCGCATCGCAGTTCCACGACTTGTCGCGCTTCCCCGCACGTTGGCACGGTCAACTTGAATCGACGCGCAGAACGATGATGACCGGTCCGGGCGCGGGCATGTCGCTGGCTTCATTACACGCCACGGTGTTTTGTTTGTGATCCCTTTATTGTCACTGAGGGCGAAGCCCTATGTAGACAGTACGTGCTAATTCTAATCAATCGAGTCTCGTGTCCGTTTGTCGCTTAGCATCACCGTCCGCCCGAGCTTCAGGCATGTGTGTAAAACGCCACGGTGTTCGGAGTGCAAGTGCTGTCACGTTCAATTCCGTCATGAGACGACCGTGAGATCTGACGTTGGTTGAGGCGCAGGTGACCGTGTCAGACGTACGGCGCTCTCTGTTACGACAGGAATTGGGCTCGGCTGCCCCGACACGATTCGCATCCTGGCTGGCAGTACTTGTCACCCTCCGACTCGTCACCGAAGACGCGAACACGGTCGTTGTATGCGCGGTGTCTTTCCGGCAGTGCGGGTGACGTCTACATGTGTCTCTTCTCGACTCACCTCGTTCCAACGCATTTGGGACTTGTCTCGCGTCACAGAATCTCGAGCTGCTCGCCGACCGAGTGGACAAAACATGCGGATACGTTCGCGGTGCATACCTCCCTGACAAGTCGGCAGATAGTCAAATGGTCTGCTGCGGCCGTGTACGGTGGAACGCTTGGGCAGCTAGTGGACGCCTGGGAACTCTCCTGTAGTGCTGCGGGATCGACTCCCCTCCATCGAGCGGTTACTTTTGACTCTCCGCGACACGACTTGTCGATCGTCACTGGACCGTCTTGCCATATACTCCCTGCCACTGGTCACCAGTTCGGACAGATCTCACATTTGAGTTGAGCTATTGTGATGGAGTCGGCGCGTATCGATGCGGGGGAGGCGGTGGAGTTGCGCGGACACGTCGTGAACTGCGTGGCAGATCGCTTCCGTAGTTCGCGCCTGTTCGCGCTCCATTGATTCCGTGCACACGCGCATGGGCTGTCATTCATGCCACTGCGGGCTTGCGAACATTTCGGAGGACTCGACCTGTCACGACGCGAGTGGTCGGCTTAAGGCTTGCGGACTTCGAGCGCGTGCGTCCACAGGTTGTGATCACTCTCCCACTTTCCGAGCCGGCACTCACTCGACAGGCTGCGTACCCCGTCCTCCCTTCGACAGCGGGCTGTCGCACACTAATTGAACACTCACGACGGCAACCATGCACTCCGGGGAGTCTTCTAGCACGACACTCACTGCCGAGTTCCCGTAGGCTTTTCTCCTGCATTAATCACACCGCTCACGCCGCCTGAGCCTATATTAACCCACAGGAGCGAACAACCAGCCCCCACGTCTCCGGCTCAACAGCCCGCACCGTCAAAGCGCCCGCGCCCGCCTGTCGCGGGCGATCGTACCGAGCCTGAGAGCAAGCGTCTCGGGCCCTCGTCCGGCGCACGAGCCAATCCAGGTGACCGCAGCGCGGTCAAGGCCGTCACTCGGGGCGCTGCACTCGCTGCGAGACGCGCGCATCTGGTGGCCCTCGGGCGCGACCTGGAGGCCTGCCAGGAAGACATCGCGCAGACGAACGAGCGGCTCGCTCGGTGCGAGGTCCAGCTGTCTGAGACGGTGACGCCGCGCGGGGACGCAGACGCCGAGCTGGCGGACGTGCGGGCTCTGATCGGCGAGGGGCAGGTGCTCCTGGCCGATATGACCGCGGAGCGAGACAAGCTCGCGCAGGAGGCAGCGACGGTTTGAGCGGAGCTTGTGCAGGAGAGGATATGATACAGGCCCTGCATGACAAAATCGCTTGTGAGTTGATGCACAAAGGCAGGTTTGGGTCTGTCTAACTTCGTCCAGCGCTGCGGGCGTAAGTGGAGAGGTTACGACAAGTCCGGGCAGCGCAAGCGGTCACTGTTGGTAAGCATATTGGGGTGCTTCTCTGGAGCGGGTACTCACAAAGCCTGTTAGTTCCCCTCCACCACCGGCCGCCTATCGACTTCGGCTTGCGTCGACGCAAGCCGAGGTCGATAGGCGGCCGGTCGCGGAGCGGAACATCCAGAGTGAGCACGATCAAGGATGCGTGCTCATGAATGCTGACCACGAGCGACGAGCAGTCATGTGCGAGAGGTTCGCCCGGGAAATGTGGGATCTGATGGATGAGAGGCTTGATGAGCTGCCGTAGGCGATGTGGTGTTTCTCAGTGATGATGCGCTGACAACACACGGATGTATAGCCCTTTGCCGGCGGCTGGAGGCGCTCACGCTGCACTAGCAGCCGGAGGATGAGCGCGCTGTTCGCAGGCGCAAGGCAAGCTCTGCCCCACCTTGTTGTCTGCCTGGGAGAGGCCTTCGGTGCGTCATTCAAGTTACTTCAGGATGTTCGCGGGCGTGATGATCGGCATCCCAAACGCAGCTGGGAGTCGAGGAGCATCCTCACGCGGCAGGATGGGGTGAGCGCGACGATTGCTGACCTATAGCGTCGGTGTGGATGTTGTCATCCAGCTCGCCGTCGGTGTGTTCAGTGCCCCATTGATATACACGATGCAGCCACACGCAATCTATTCTCAGTTCCTTATACACTGACTATCATTCAGAGTCGGATTAGACACGGCATCCTATACTATTGGTTCTTTCAACCGTGATCAGACCTCCGAACTTGCTGTACGCAGCGTGAACACACGACCACTGACGGAAATGTTCTTCAATACGCCCAATAACTCTCTTTTGGTCAGTTTTGTCAGTCTGCGAACCAGTGAAACGGGTGTCTTGGATAGATCTAATCTCAGCGCCTGGTTTTGACTCCGCGATGTCGGTTCGTGATCTCCGAGATCAGAAAGCGGATGCAATCTACTGTACCGAAGCCTCAGCCTGTCGTGAGCTGCTACTTAGCACCGCTCGTCCCCGTGTCTCTCTGGGATATGATCCACGCCGCAGCTCTGTCCGTGATTCTGGGCATATCTGGGGCACTGGGAAATATGACTACGGCGCCCGCACCTCCGGGGACTAGGAGTCGATGACACGCAAGGCAGGACGGCTGTCAAGGCCGCAGGTGCGTCGTAGTCGTCTGCCTGCCGAAGGTATACTACGCGGATTGGTCGCGGTTGATTTGCGACTTCGCACATGCGTGTTTACGGTCAAAGCGCAAGTCACGTAGTGTTATAGGTGTGACTCAACGTGATGAACGTCACATACATCCATGCGCTGATGCATATGCTCACTAGAATCTACTGCTCGATACCCCGGCTTCCTGTCCAACGTGCTCCTACTGGGCAAATGTATGGCATATGATATACTTGTATCGATTTACATGTTGTAACTACACCGCATACCTCAGCGAACCAAAGTATGGACCAGGTCAGCGACATATCTTTTCACCAGCCCGTTCGCCAGCCAGTCTATTCGACCACCCACCCATTCGCCAGAAGATGCCGAAGCGGATACCCTTCTGGTCCTCGGCGGCCGGGTACGCCAACATGAGCGAGCCCTGGGCCGTCCAGAGCAATTCGGCGCAGACACCGGAGATCGCGCCCGCCGCGATCATGAAGCCGCCGGCATTAGGGTCAAGATTGATGGCGCTGTGGACAGTTCATCTGGCCGGTCGGTCAGTGACGCGGGGAGGATGCACAGGTAAGAGCCGATGTACACGGCATAGCCGCTGCTCCCAATGAGAAGCGTGAGGCGCGGACCAACGACGTTGTTGATCGAGCTAGAGGATCGCGGTAAGCACCCAGCGACGCGAGCACAGGGCGTCGGCGCACGCACCCGGCAAAGAAAGCGGTGAAGGCGAACGTCGCGTAGATGGCACTGCTGATCTCACCGCCGCCGCCAAGACCGTCGAGGGCATTGAACAGACCTGGGCCCTGAAGCAGACGAAGCCGAGGAAGAAGCCCTGCCCATTCGCCCGCCCGCTCATCAGTTGGCCGACCCGCCACACCAGAGGTGTTCCGCAAAACTGATTGCTCCATCCACAAAGAAAGGCGATTTCGCGGGGCTGCGAGTAGGTGGGCGAGAGGGAATGGGAGTGGGACAAGTGGGCGAACAAGTCGGCAGGCGAGTGGGAGTGCGGGTGAGAGAAATCACAGGCGAGAGAAAGCGCGAGCAGGCGTGCAGGCAGACGGCTAGGCGGGAGTATGGGCGAGAGAGCGGGGGCGAGAGCTAGAAAGCGCTGACGTGTGGACGAACAGGCGAGCGGACGAGTGGGTGAGAAGACAAAAAGGCGAGTGTGGTGTGCAAGGACAGGTTGGGTAGGCAGGCGAGCAATTGGTCGGGTACGCCAGTGAGCGAGTTAGCCGGCAGACGAGTGAGCTGGCAGAAGATTCAGTGTGCGGGCGGGCAAGACAGCGAGGACGACGGTGGATGAGTTCGAAAAAGTGAGTGGCCCGAGCACGCAGGCGTTTGAGCTGGCAAGAACGGGGGACCGACCGAGCGCGAGAGGGCGGGCGAACCACGTACACCGTGTGCCAACCAAGAAGACGAGGCGGGCAGGCAAGCTAGCAAGAGGAGTTTGAGAAGAGTGGACAGGCGGACAACCTAGCGAGACGGTGAGTAGGTAGACCAACCGTGACAGTGATGAGATGAGCTCAGCCTGGTTGTACGTATACGCCTATCAACGTTACGAACGTCTTTCTTCCGTTGAACTTGCATATCGACTGTTGAAGTACAGATGGACGTCACTAAGTAAGTACTCGCGATCGTACATACTGTACCGTATACAATGCGTGGGATACGCGCTGTGCTCTGGCGCTAATGCAATTGTCAAAGCGCAAATGAACCGCGACCAATCCGCGTACGATACGAAGGTCAACCGGTCACCGACGTGTTGCAAGAGCGTCGTCAGTACGTCACCAGCTTGGGCTCAAGATATGTCATGAAGGCGAGTGAGTCCGACTCCTCTCGGGTGCCGGCGGTTCACAAGCTACCGTCCTCTATTAGTGCAGAGCCACAAGGAAGGAGCATCCGAGTCGTCGACCGCTAATCACGTGTTGCGAGAATCCACTGGGATGTGCACGCGCTCTCCGGTTGACTCCCGTGCGTGCAGCTTTCAGTGGACGTCTCCCCTTGTAAGGACGATGGTAAAGTAGTTTAGTCAGCGCCTTAGTCAGCGACCCGGAGTCCGCCGAAGGACCGTTTTATAGCTGACGCGCCCCGTTGCTCTCGTCGTCTTTTCCCCCATCGTTGTGCACCGCTCGCCCCTGCAATATACAGGCTTTGGCTAGCTCAGTACGGCGTCCGAGAAGACCTACACCCCTTACATCTTTTTGAGCTACCGACCTCGTTAAATCGAGGAGCCCCCTTACTCTCTCGCTTCACTCTCTCGCTTCCTTCTGCTTCACTCAACTCTCGCGCCATCCATCTACCCCCAATCTATGTCGACAACAACAACAAAGACCAAAACCAAAAGACGGACTCAACAGACTACTACTAGTCGACCCGTCACCCGCGCATCGAGCCGAGCTACGACGTATGCTCAGGGCAATATCCGGGACGTCGACGAGCGTCGTCCCGAGGACCAGGGCCCCGGTGAGCAAATGCCACCTCGCTCACCTATCCCTGACGGTTCTGTTCGCAGAACCTCTTCGCCTCAGCACGTCGAGCAAGAGCTCGAGCACGAGCGCACACCACCCGCCCGCGCACCATCCCTGGAGCGCACACCACCCGCGGGCGCACCATCTCCTGCGCCCTCAGTTCGCTCCGAAACACGGCGCACGTCGGAGACCAGCATCCGTGACATGTGCCAAGATTTTTTCGACATGATCAACGACCGTCTCGAAGATTCGGACGAGGTCATCCGAAATGCGGCGAATTTCGCCAACACTGCCTTGCGTGACGTCATGGCAGCTCAGCAACGAGCGGCCGAGACTCGCAACCTCACGCGGACGATGTTCCTGGACATCCGTAGACAACTGGACCGTCTTGGGTACGGACCAGCCGAAGAGGAAGACGAGGTACGTGACGATGATCACGGACGCCATGCCTCTCCGCATTCGGTTAACAGCAGGCAACCATCGCCGCATATCCGCGATGACGACTACGTCGAGACCATGTCCCTCGACACTATGTTCGCGCCGAGGCGACCGAATGAATCCGACGCTCAATACGCCAACCGGGCCCGACGTCGGGATCAATTCCTGGACCGCCAAGGAATGGAGCAACGCCGACGCGAACGTGAAGCTCGCATCGCGCAGACCTGGCGCGAGACTGCGGAACGACACGGAGGCGATCCGTATGCCAATCAGCAGGCCTACGCGCCATACCCGGGTCCTCCTGATGACGACGACGACCCGGACGACGACTACGACGGTGACCCGCGCCAACCGTCGCCGCGAGACCCTAGACCACCCCGTGACTATCCAGATGCGGATGGTCAACGAGGAGGAGCTGCCCCGCCACCACCTCCGCCACCTGGCGGACCACCCGATGACGACGGTGGAAGTGATGGGTCGGGCGATCGCGACGACGAGCGGGACCTCCAAGATGACGATGAGGATGCGCGTGAGCACCCGCGCCGGGATGAACGTCGCTTCACCCGAAGCCCTACATACCTAGCAGATCGACGTGTACCGATGTACGATACACGCGCTGGCAATAGACGAGTCCGTGACCCCTACGATCCAGACTACGATGACACCTTCAGAGCTGAAGGCCTTCGCATGATACGAAGGTTAGTCCGAGAAAAACTATCTGAGAGCATGCCAGACAGCAATGCACTCAAGAATATTAAGAATATACCCACACCCTCGCAGTACGATGGTACTGACGACTACGAGCAGTTCGAAAACTGGCTCAAGAACTTACTTCGCTGGATGAGTCTCTTCCGTCTAGGTGGACCGACACTCGACAAAGAACGTTTGTATATACTTGGCCAGTTCTTGAAGGGAAAGGCTGCCGACTGGTATAACGATACCATCGATGCACCTACCGCGAACGGAAGGCCTTGGACGTTCCTTGAGGCACTCTGTGGTCTATTCGATAGATTCTTACACCATGCGACTGCCAGCACAGCAGCCGACAAGTTCTACGCTGCTAAATACACTAAAGAAGGTGGTATTAACGGCCTCTGGGACTATCTCACGAAGTATGCGGCCCGTATGCCCATACCACCTGACGACTACACGTTCGCACGCGTGTTCACGGAGGCGCTTCCCAGCGACATCGGCGTGCCGCTGTTCCAGGCCAAAAACGTGTCCGTCGAGTCGACTCCCCTACAGCGACTCCGACGTCTTGCTCTGCAGCAAGAACACAACAATAAACAAGTCGCGGCCTACCGTTCCAAACACGCTGCGCGGGTTGCGACAACTATACCCAATACTGCAAGCAACCCTTCGACGCGAAGCACTGACCGTCGTGTCGAGTCGAACCATCGCGATAGCCGAGGGCATAGTAGTGGCCAACAGGGCACTCGTAAGTTCATTCGTTTCGTTCGTCGCTCTGACCTCTTGGCTGCTGCAGCTCGCGGCGGAGGTGCGCCGCTGATTCGTCCTAAGGGACTGCAACAATCCTCTCAGCCGACCTCAAACATCCGTGGTGGTGTTGCACCTGCTTCGGGCAACCGTTCGTCAGGCCAGCAGGGTGCGTCGCACCAGTCTCATTCTCACGCACATGGCACTTCACAGCACTCGCGCAAGTGCTTCAACTGTGGAGAAGAGGGACACTTCTCAAAAGACTGTCCCCATCCACCACGCACAAACTTCCGTGCGGCGCGTATCGTCGATGATCGCGACGATCCCGATGTAAACGAGTTGGAACGTCCGCCCGACAATCCTGTCGAGGCGCCCGAAGGGTCGCCGGATGCGACGCCGGAGGCTCCTTCGCCTGCGGTTGAGGCAGCAAGTGCTGATAACCAAGACGAAGTACTCGCCCAATTAGAGGACGAGTACCTCGCCATGGATGGATCACAGTATGATCCTGACGAGTACATCGCGATGGAGGATGCACTCGAGGATGACGACAATGTCGTATAGCATCAGGAAAAACCAATTTGTCTTTTCTCAGCATCTTTTGCACTATTAAGACACCAAGGGTACTGAAGACCATGAAGCTCAGTTTACACAAGTACCCTTTTTCATTATGCATAAAAAGCAAATTGAAGATGACTGATGCAGCCAGGCCTAATATAATGCATTGTAATGATAGCCGTGCATTCACCTAAGAAGCATGCTTTAAATGGCTTTAAAAGTGCTCTTAAGTTTGAAAAACCCCAGTCAGTTGGGGTTCTCTCTTCAGTAGGTAGATTTATCATTTACTGCTTATTGGAGCTTCAGCTCACTTCATTTGACTGAAACTAGCATGGAATTTGCACGCATCCGGACGGCATTCAGTACGGTTACATTGTAATAAATAGCAGCTAGTAGTACACAGCATAACAAAGCTTGAGATGTCCGCCACAGCGCACGCAACCCCAGCCAGCGACGTACAAGTGATGGAGATGGCAGCGACGGCGACGGCAATAGCAATAGTGATGGCAATAGCGGTGGCGATGTGGGTGACGATGGCGATGGCGAGAGTCACAGCGATAGGGAGAGCAGTAAGAACGATAGCCACAGGGACAGGAAGGGTGAGAGGGGAGCGACGTTGTACAGAGGTATAGTAGTGATAGCTACTAGATGGTTGCAGTCGCGCCTGCAATTAGCGCATTTGTGCACGCAGAAATGTGCCACTTACTGTGTGAATCCGCGTCCACGCGCTTCTGCGTTAGTGAACGTACTCAGGCAGGTTCTGCGCAATGTCAATACTGAATAAGTGTCGTATTGTTATGAGATGTATACTACTCACCTCCTTCCCCAGACTCATGGAGCTGGTCTATATCTGCTCCATCCCCGCGAGCCTCGTCGTCGACCTCTTCTGCAACTCTGCTCCCTTCGTCGTCGGTGTGTCCCGTTCCACTAGGCTCTCCGTCGGAGCCGTCGGCGCCGCGTCGTCTCTTGCCCTTCAACTTGGATGTCGACGGGCCCGTGCTTCCAGGTTTCTTGGACGAGCTGGACGACTTACCGGTGGTCTTTGACACGGTCCTCGCCTTCTTCGGCGTGCTCGACACCGGCTGGGTCACCGCCTTCGACGAACTCGGCTCGTTGCTGCGGCTCTGCGGCTTTGACGCACGCAACTGAAGGAAGGGGATGAAGCTGTCCTCCTGCTCGTCGCCGTCTACAGGCCCCTCAATCGCGTTAGGACCCGCATTGAGACGTGTGCTGTACATATGGTCAGTGAATATCTACATGAGGATAGGTGAAGAATTACCTGATTTCCTCCCAAATCTGCTCCCTCGTCTCCTGGAGGTAATCGCCAGCTCGATCTTCCAAAGTCTCGAGGATGGCCATCAAGCCATCCCACCTATGGTCACTCAGCATTCACTGTTTGCCAATGAAGACAAGATGTACTTACTTAGCCGCAAAGTTCTTGTTGGAGAAGACGGTAGACTGGTGGTGCGATGTCACCTCCATCAGGGCTGCCTCGATCTAGATTGGTAAGTATACGATCGCATGAGTAGCTTGACGGACGACAGGAACTCGAAGTAGATGCGTACCGCATTGCACGAGAATGCGATGAGGTTCAGCGGCACCTTGCTGAACTCGTCCAGCGCCGCGTTGACGCTCGCGTTCGCACGTCCAGCCAAACCGTAGTACTGGTAGATTAGCGCAGGGATGCTTTCATTGCGGAACGGCTCCGTGCGCTCGACCTTGGTACGCTAGCATTGCAGTAAGTTAGCTCTGCTGTGCTGCACAGGCTGTGTGTGCACGTACCTTGCGATCTAGATTCTTGTCGCGGTCGAACTGGATGTCTACACCGCCGAAGACAAAATTCGGGATGCTGCGAGCCTTGTTGTCATCGTTTACTGCCGATGGGTGCGTCTCGAGCAGCCAGACGGCGACCTCCCTCCTCTGAGCGACCGACAGACTCCCGAGCTTGAAGACCTGCTCGACGACTTGCTTCGCCTTCTTCTTGATCTCATTCCTGGTCTGCGAGGCGCACGTCCAGACCTGCAAGATGTAAGAGCATCTGACTCTCGACACTTCTGACCTGACACTCACCACCGTATACACCTTCGCCCGCATCGCCGCTCGCTTCGCTTTCTCCTCGGCATTCAGCCCCTTCTTCGCCCGCAGCAGCTTGATAGCAGTCTTCAGGTCTGCGTTCGGTTTTCCACTCTTCCCGCTTCGCTTGCAGGCTTCTCGAATGCTTGCACCAATGAGCTTCTCGCTATTGAGAAGTCGCTTGGTGGGGATAGACGTTTCCTTCGTCCACGCAGACTTGAGGGCAATCTGCAGGCGCAGACAGTTCTGCGCCGCCGAGACGAGTAACTTGACTTTGGCCGGTAAATCTGCGACCTTGACGCGATTGCTGCTCTTACGTTCACCTTCGGTCGAACTCGACTTGGCGCGGGCGGGCTTGCGTTGGGCCTTTGTCTCAGACACCAGCTGTCCATCGTCAACGCTACACTGCCCGATGATTGATGAGTTTGAGTTACTCACTATCACATCGCCCTCGTCCTCCTCTATCTCAGCGTCTTCATCCTCTCCTTCATCCTCACTCTCTGTGCCTAGGGCCTCGATCCCGTACTCATCGTCATCCTCGTCATCCTCGTCATCCTCGCTGTCCGAGTCGAACGAACTGCCCTCTTCCACTTCTTCCTCCTCCTCGTCGTCGTCCACCTTTCCCTCGCCATCATCCTGCTCATCTTCGTCGGACTCATGCTGGGACTCGACCACTTCCTCGTTGCGCATCGCACGGCCCTTGCCCTTGTCCTG